TGTATAATGGGCAGGAATTAAAATGCCCAAGTGCCATCGATTTTTGTGGAAATTATACTAAACGACTAAACTTTTTGCAACCATTGTATTTGCAGGAGGTGAACAAGAGGAATATTAGCACAACTGGAATTCACAATTGCCCTGGAATCAATTTTGATGAAGGGAATATAAATATTATAAATAAATGTTCCCCTTTGACCTGAACAAAGAAATTAGGGTCACAATATGACCTCTAGTTGTTGCCACCTTGAAGATTTATCCTTCCCCTTCTCCAGATTTTTGACAAACTACTGTAAGAGCAAAGTGAAAGAGAACATGGAAACACAGTTAATATAGTGCCAAATCATTGTTTGGCGTTATGTCTGAATGCATCCAGTGTTTTTATATAGACACATTTAGCAGTTTGTGCGAAAAAGGCCATCGCAACTCCAAAAGTATTTACAGTCTTATTAAGGCCTCATGTGCACAATCACAAAAGTGACAAGTATTATTACGTTTCTGGGGCTATTAACACCAAGACACAACCAGAGTTGCCCTTCTGTTTGCAGAAGGGGATGCAATTCACAGGAGGTTCCTGTTGGAGGAAGATTCTTTTTGCCAATTCCCTCCAACTGCTTCCTGCAACATCTCCTACACTATTCCAGGGAGGTACCCAGACCTCTGTAGATTTGCAAGAGAGTATAGAGATATGCAGGAGAAACAGGCCACAGAGGGAATGAGAAACTGGTGAAAATAGGCTCCCAACTCCCACCAGGAGTGTCCTGTGTGAAGTTCTGTTCTCCAGCGCACCATTTTTGCATGCCTTTGTTGAAGAATATCACTATAACAAGTTTTATAAACAGGTTAAAAGAGCTCTCTGTTGATACACCAAAGTTTGATAGCCTCAGTGAGCTGGAGTCGCTTCCTTTCAACTTCTCTTTCTCTCTCTCTCACTCATGGGATGTCATAATCTATGGACCCAGAGCCAGAAAATGAAGGACAGAATCTATCTTAGGGCTACTGCACAAACAAAATGGCAGCAACTGTGTATTTCATCAAAAGTGCATGTACCAGGCAACTCCTGCTCTTTGGTACATGTACAGGTATGACTCACACATGCGACATCTGTTTGCCCCTCACACATTTTATACATTCTTTTGTTTACTGCTTGTAAAACATTTTGTGTATCTATTAACATGTAAAATGGTTCTGTTTCAGCTGTAGAGAGATGATCAACAAGAAGATGGAGAGAATTCACAAAGAAATAGTTCCCTTCTCTCCCTTGGCCCCAAGCCCAGTTGCAGCTGTAAGTTATTGCCTGACCCTACTGTACTTGAAAAAGAAGATGGAGAGAGAAGGCAGGAATATTCTCTCCAGTCATTATATACAAACACATTAGGTTTGAGGGGAACCAAAGCTAGTCTCATTAAACCAGGATAGCTTGGTATCAAAAGGTGAGTTGAGAAATATATTATGTCAGAAGCAGACCTTCATTTATTAATTTATTGCACCAGACCCCATATTATATAGGGACCTTTGCTAGTTATGCACAAAATTCTCACGCTTATATAATCAGATGGCTTTAGCCATAAATGGGCTCTTGCTTCCCAGTTCATAATTTGTTATATTTCTACCTTTATTCTTTAAAGTATGACTTCTTGCGTAAGAAAAATAAATCTTTAATAACATTACTGTAGTGTGCAATTCTGAGGTGCAACATGCCAAAAAGTTGGTAAGTTTTATAATGCAGTGGCTTTTAATTTCAGTGTCAAATCACTGAGATTGCAATCCTTGTATATGAACAATGTTGTATATCCAGAATGTTAATTGCATGACATAACTAATTGGTCCTTTAGTTTAATAGATGCCAATTTACAAGCAATGTCTTGCATTCCAACAAACTCCCAACATTTTCATTCTCTGGTGTAGAAAGAGCTTGTTTGCCATTAGCAATGTTCTTAATTGTAATTAAACACCTGTTTAATTAGTGCAGCTGAATTTTATTTTGCAATTCTTGCAACATATAGGTGTTAGGTAGATGGTGGTTTGGATTGCTGGGTTGTCATCACTGAAGAAATATAGTTTCACAGTAAATGTCAGGAATTCAGTGAAAGTTGATAGCTACCCATAAAAACCTAAGTTTTCAGAGACCAATGGGAAATGCCAGATAATTTTTTACATTTGAGAACATACCTCAGTGACATTCAGGTCCCATTGGTCTGATCTCTCAAGGAAGACCCTCCCTCCCAAATCCCCTCAACTCACTTCAGTAAAGTCTGTGGAAAACCTACATCTGGCCTATTTTTCTTAAAGGCTTCAAACTGTTGTCCTTAACAGAAAAGGCTTCAAGAGAAACCTGCTTCCTTGCTCCACCTCCTGCATTGACACATTTAGTCCAACTTTAATCCAACCAATGCACATTAAAAATTTCCAGTATTATGTAAAGGGCAAAGTATGCTGCATACTTGGAAACCCAGAAGCCACAAATCCCGTGAGCTCCTTTAGGCATGTGGAAAGCTTGTATGTGCCCAGCAGGACTTTCAACTATTTTCCTTAACAGCTCCTCCCCAGTGGCAACATTGCAAACTATTTTTAAAGTTCTTCAGCCCTAGAAAAAACAGCCTGTAAACTAAGCTGAGAGGCTGTTGTTGGGAAGAAAATATAAACGTTTTGCAGATGGTACTGAATTAGATTGCAGTTTTATGGATTGTGGTCTTATGTGCCAGGGCTTTGCACATTGCTCTCTGTGAAACCAGGGTCCGCATATTCCACACTTTTCAGTGAAACACATTTTTGTGGCTGATTAGAAAAGCTCAGTATTGCTGGAGCACATTGTGTGCTGCTGGATCTTTTCACATCACCTGACTCTACAGGAGCTTATCACATAACTACTAATGTCTCCATAGGGTAGGTGGAAACCAGTTATCCAAGCGCAGAACTACACATCACATACAAAGATACACAATAAAACTCTGATGACAGCTTCTAATAAACAAGTGGACTTTCACTAAAAAGCAGGAGAAAGATTTCTTGATCCTCCCATTTCCCCCTTGCAACTCCCCACCCCTTGTGTGTTCTCGCCAAAGGGGGTCCAGATGAATATTTACCTTATAAACATGTACCTGGAGGTTCTGAGGAAACATTTGGGGTGAGATGCAGTACAAAATCCGTTAAGTGCCTATTCTCCTTGCTTTTTTAGTTGCAAAACCTCTTCCTCTCAAAGCAGCAACCATCAGAATGTTATTATTATGCATGTTGATTATGTAGCACCCCAAATCTGTCTTCTAAAAGAGCATTATGGAAGATGAACTTAAAGAGTATTGATCTAGGAATCCCCAATTCTTCATGAAACCCAGTACAGAATGAATAGTAATTCACTGTAAGAGAAAACTACCACTTCAAGCATATAAAGAGTTTGTGCAATGTGATCAAATAAGCTGACCAAAGGCTCTTTCGCGACCTCTGCTGGATAGTAGAAGGAAAAGTTTAGCACTTGAACACCATAAGCAGCATTGCATTTTACAGGTGTATAGCACCTCCCTACAGAATTTTAAAATACTGCTCGGGTTGATCAGCACTTTAAAAAAAGGACTTATTTTTGGAGTCTGCTTTGTCAACCTGAAAAATATATATATTTGGAATCTGTGATCTGAATCAGATAATAGGTTCACCTGCAGTGGCATACCTTGGAGCCTCAAATTTCAGTGATGCCTGTACGATGGCAAAATTCGGCACCCCACCTTCCATTCTATATTACAGTTGCGGCACCCGAGGCTCCACATCCACTTCCCTAAATCTGCCGCTGCCACCTAAACCCAAAGTTGCTTAACAATTAATAACTTTAGCTGCAGAGGGCATGGCCCTGCCCTTGTAGGATTCACCAGTTCTTTTCTTGTTCAGCTTGAAGTACCGTACCTCAGCCATAAATCTAGCTTCTAAGATTAGTACGTATTGTGTTTTTGATTTACAGTGGTGCTCCGCAAGACGAATGCCTCGCAAGACGAAAAACTCGCTAGACGAAAGGGTTTTTCGTTTTTTGAGCTGCTTCGCAAGACGATTTTCCCTACGGGCTTGCTTCGCAAGACGGAAACGTCTTGCAAGTTTGTTTCCTTTTTCTTAACACCGTTAATACAGTTGCGACTTGACTTCGAGGAGCAACTCATAGAACGTGGTGTGGTAGCCTTTTTTGAGGTTTTTAAAGACTTTGGTGATTTTTGAAGCTTTTCCAAAACTTTCCCGACACCGTGCTTCGCAAGACGGAAAAAACCGCAAGACGAAAAAACTCGCGGAACGAATTAATTTCGTCTTGCGAAGCACCACTGTACTCTGTCTCAAATTCTCATGCCGCTTAAAATATTTATGTAGCAACTGGTAAAATAGATGCAATTTTGTTGCTGTGATACTGTTTCACTCATTTGCTTTCAATGTAAGTTTCTCTATGTCTTCAGGAAAACTTGCTTGTTGAATTATCCCTGAAAGCTAGCCTATTACAATAAATATTAGGCTGCAGATTGGAGGAGTTGAAACCATGAGTAAATATTAGAGACAACATGCTGCTTACCAGAACGGGATTCCTAGGACTATGGCCTTAAACTACCTTGTCTTTACCTCCCCACATACCCTTACATACAGCCATGGGGAAATATGGCAAAAACCATTGGTCCATATTACCTGAAAAATTAGGTCTTAATCATGGCAATTAAAAGAACTCATGGTATGTGTGCCACTCAAAGGAAAGAAGAAAGCTAAAACAAACCTATAGTTTTATAGTCTTAACTGGACTTTCTCTCTGTATCAGTTTCTCTCTGTAGTCGTTTTATCCATCCCTCTCTCCCTCTGCCTTGTTCTTGTTGCAACTGACTCATACTGACTCTGCTGAAGTGAAATCTACACACCTTTCCTTAAAAAGCTAAAAGAGTGAAATTTACAAGACAGTTTTACCCTCTGACCAGCTGCTGCAGAACTCAGGAGAGACCCACTGCATATCTCACAAAGTTCATTCAAAGAACAACCACACAGTTACTAACACATTTCTTTAATATAAATACATGGAATAAATGTTAACAGGATTTCTATGGCATTGGGAAGGAGATCTGTAATAAAAATATACAAACTGCAAACCTTCTTTTACCCTCTTCAGAAATGCTTGTGTAAAATTCTTTTAATGCCTATTACTCAGAAGCAGTGTTTAGGACAGACTCATAGAGATCATAAAAGAAAGTTCAGATTGTTTGTCTCTTCTGCTTGATCTAAACATCCAATATGATATAGCGTGACTGGTCTGGTGAGGTCATACAATCAGCTTGCAACCAAGTACCAAACGGAGACTAACATTAACCATACACAGTTTGGCTAATGTTTATTGCCACTGGGAAGAGTTCCTTGGCTCATATCACGGACCCCAACAATGAAACATGATGTAAAAACAACAACCCTGACATGTTTTAAGGAATTATTAATTTACACACACTTATTGTGTGCAGCTTCTAAGGCTCTGATATATCTACAAAGACCTAATAATCAGTAACTCAGGATTGGAAGTTTTACAAATGTTTTCTTTCCAAATTAAAGCAGGTAGATGTGGATGAAGTGCTGGAAACATTTTAATTACTGCAAGAAGTATCACAGGCACACTAGTTTCCTGTTGGAGGAATATTTTCATGAAGGTACTGCAAAGCCAAGTCAGTCCATTTCATTTCTTGTTCTTTTACAGATTCTGTTGTGCCACCATTGTCTTGTTCTGGTTCAGGAAGCTCATTCTGAGAACAGAAACATATTAAATTATTTAAAATGTTTTAAAAAGCAATAGCATCTAGAAATATTTGACACTGATGGATTAGGGACCAATAAATGTGACTGAAAGAAAAATGTTATCTCACATATCTGTTTATGAAGTATGCCAGAAAAAATTGCAATTCCAGCTATGTCTATATTTTGGGAGAACATTTTGTATGTGTGTTTTCTGCCTGATGTGTGTGTGTGTATCCCCATTCGTGTTGACTCTCCTTGATCTCTCGGAAGCTTTCGCTACAATAAACCATGACATCCTCCCAGAGTAGTTTTGTTGGACAGGTTATTTGAGGCACCATTATGGTGAGTCTTCCCCTACTTGCACGTCCACTACCAGAGAGTGGCATTGGGGGACTTCTATGGCTTTTGTTCCATACTATCCTTTATACTGTTTAGCATCTATATGAAGCTACTTGCAGAGGCCATTCATGCATTTGGGGAATAGTGTCACCAGAAAGCTGATGACAACCAACCCTATCTCTCCTTACCATCTGAATCAAGTGAAGCTGTGAAAGCATTGAATCATTGTCCACAGGGAGTTATAGACTGGATAAGGGTCAATAAAGTGATCTGCAAAGGACTGTGCTCTTCCTGAAGGAGCAGGTATGTAGCTTGTGGGTACATTTGGAATAATATCTGTTGATACAATCCCAAATGGCTTCAGTAGCTATTTCCGGCTCCAGTTGATATGCCAGCTTTGATTCTTACTGCTCCAAAAGAGGCTGGCCAAGTTATTCATGGATTGTTAAACTCCTGGTTTAACTATTGTATCATGCTCTGTGTAAGGCTAATCTTGAAGGTGGTCTGGAAGCTGCATCAAGTCCAGAATACAGCTGCAAGAGTGGTGAGGGGTGTGATGAAGAGATCTCGCATTATATCAATTCTGCAGCAACTGCATTGGCTGACTATCTGCTACCAGACTAAAAATATAGCTATTGACATTAAAATACCTTAACTGCTTAGAACTCAATAAGTATACTCAATAGATATACTTGTGCAGTGTCCTGAGATAGTTTTCTATGTGATGGCTCCCAGCACATCATGAAACTCCCTTCCCTGTCTTAGTCCCTCATGCTTTTGTGTTGGCAAGTGACGATTCAACTCTTTACAACAGACATTTGAGAGCGTCAAGAGTTGAAATTTACTAGATGGGTGAAATATATATACACTGTAGTATCATTTTCCACTTCAGCTAAACATGCTCACTAGAGCCAGTTTCTTGTACTGTGTGGTATCCTAATCCAACAAATGTGCACAGATACAGATGGCACAAAATGTGGCTCTGGAAAGTACAGTTTTAAACTGTTTTTAATACATTGCATTTTAATGCTGAAGCCCACTATGGGACTTTAAAATAAATAAACAACCAAGTACAGTGGTGCCTCGCAAGACGAAATTAATCCGTTCCACGAGAGTCTTCGTCTAGCGGTTTTTTCGTCTTGCGAAGCAAGCCCATTGACGGATTAGCGCTATTAGCGCTATTAGCGGTTTAGCGGCTATTAAAGGCTTAAAGGCTTAGGGGATTAGCTGCTAAAAGGCTATTAAAGGCTATTAAAGGCTTAGCAGATTAGATAAAGGGGGGGGAAAGCGAAAAAAAAATCTCAAGACTCGCAAGATATTTTCGTCTTGCGAAGCAAGCCCATAGGGGAATTCGTCCTGCGAAGCAACTTCAAAACGGAAAACCCTTTCGTCTAGCGGTTTTTCCATCTTGCGAGGCATTCGTCTTGCGGGGCACCACTGTACTTTTAATGAGGCAATTCTGACCTGTTTCATTATTGCTACAAAAGATGTGAAGGAAGCCAGGATCCTCCACGAAGCGTGCCAACCCAGCTACAAAGTACATTTAAATATGCTTGCAGTGGGAAGTTACCCACATTAGCAATATGAGTCAAATGGCCACAGTGATCCATGCGACGGTCATCTCCAGGCTTGACTACTGTAATTCGCTCTACGCGGGGCTGCCCTTGAAGCTGTCCCAGAAACTCCAGCGGGTGCAGAATGCTGCAGCAAGACTTCTCACGGGGTCTCTGCCATGGGAGCATATTCACCCAGTGCTTTTCAAGCTGCACTGGCTCCCGGTGGAGTACAGGATCAGATTTAAGGTGCTGCTTTTGACCTTTAAAGCCCTTCACGGCCTAGGACCCTCGTACCTACGGGACTGCCTCTCCCGGTATGCCCCATGGAGAGCCTCAAGGTCCATAAATAGCAACACCCTTGTGGTCCCGGGCCCTAAGGAAGTTAGATTGGCTTCAACCAGAGACAGGGCCTTTTCAACTCTGGCTCCGGTCTGGTGGAACGCTCTGCCTCACAAGACCAGGGCCCTGCAGGATCTGATTTCTTTCCGCAGGGCCTGTAAGACAGAGTTGTTCCGCCTGGCCTTTGGCTTGGAGCCGATTTGATTCCCTCCCTCTCTTTCTTTTTTCTTTTCCTTCTCCTTCTGCGATGACATTTTAATGTTTCAATATTTTAATGTGTTTTTTTTTAATTTTGTTTTTAAGTTGTAATTATTTAACTTGTTTTTATTATTGCTTGTAAGCCGCTCTGAGCCTGGCCTTGGCTGGGGAGGGCGGGGTATAAATAAAAATTATTATTATTATTATTATTATTAAATATTGACTTGGGAACTGCGCTTGCCTCATACCGTGCAGTTTTGCCCCTGGTTGCAAAACGTCATTTATTATTATTATTATTTAAAGTAGGACTGTGTGCATTTGGGCGTCACCCACCTGATGAGGAGAAAGGGGGCAAATAGATCGGCCCCTTTCCCGAACCAGACTAGCACCATAAGGCAGATACTGCCCCTGCCCATGTGGTTAGAGGTCAGACCCAGGGAAACCAGTTCAGGGCCAGGCTCTTGAGCGCCCACTCAACTCACCAGCGGTATTGCCACATCTTCGTAGGGCAACTTATCTTCCCTCCACGCGTCGTCGATCAAATCGAGGATCCGCCCGTCTCTCTGCACTTCGCTGTCCATCTTCGCGCAGCCCGGGGAGAACCAGGGCTGCGTTATAAAGGAGGCGTCCACGTCACACACGGGCTTCGGACCCTGATCCTAAGCGTGCCTGCGCTTTGCTTTCATTCGGAAAAAGGCAGGCGGCTTGGGACAACCGCCGTCGCCCCGCTCCTGTCACCCGCCAGCTTCTCACCTAAGACGCGCCACTGTTTTCCGAACCTGGGAGGCAGAGGAAGTGACATCACAGGAAGCGGCTCCAGAAGCCGGAAACCCATAGAGATGGGGGAAGAAAAAGAAGAGAGCGTCGCTAGTCTTACCCAAACAACGCGGGCGGGAGTCACGAACCAGAAAGCGACTGCCAAGTTCTGAGGGTGGGGGCGTGGCTGAGTGGCTCGCGCGGGAGACGGCGCGAGAAGAGAAGCTCGACACTCTGTTTCGCCGGCCATTACCCCTGCCGCGGCGTTGGTCGGGCGGGCTCATTTCTCTTTCGCCGGGTGACTGGAGATTGGCGAGGCATCCCTTCCTTCTCCTCTCTTCACCCGGGCGCGCGCCGCCTCGTTGGCCTTTGGCGCTTCGCGGGCAGCAGAACCGCCTCTCCCTCGCGGCGCGCGCCTGTGAGGTAACTTCGTAACGTGTGCACGCGACCCACGCGCGAAACTGCCTCCTCGCTTCTGCCCTCCGCCGGCTGGGAGCGCGGAGCTCTGGCCCTCGGTGGCGACTTGGGAATGGAGATTCGTCTCCAAGGTCGGCCCTTAGAAAGCAGCACCTTGCCAGGGGGAAACAACAGCGCCCTTTACTTCCATGCTCTGAAAAGCTTCCTCTCCTCCTCTTCCTCGAGGGACAGGAGCCACTGTCAGTCGGAGGCGGCAAATTCCAGCTCGATGGTGGCCAGAGGCCATTTGCTGCAAGCTACCCTTTTTTAACAGGGGGAAACGTTGGCGACCTTTTGCCTGCCCTGCTTGCAGCAATTCAGCCTGTGTTTTATAGCTTTTTGCAGCCCAGTTCTGTGTTGCACTTACTTGTTTGGAAGCAAAGCGCCACCGTTCAGTTCACTCCCAAGCAGCTTGTGCTTCTGATTTTACAGATACTTGTTTTAGCAAAGCATTTCTTTGTTGTGCTTAACTCTGGATGTGTTTTTGAATTAACACTCTTCTGTTACCACCTGCCCCTTTCACCTGAGGCCTTTTAACTGCTTGCAGCTGTAAACCTTGCAGCTTAAAAGTTTTTGTCGTATTGCACCCACATCAGTTATTTGTCGAAGGCAGTGTATCCCAAATTTGGGTCTCCAGCTGGTGTTGAGTTACAACTCCCATGATCCCTAGCTGTCGGGACCAGTTGTCAGGGATGATGGAGGTTATAGTCCAAAAACAGCTGGCAAACCCAAGTTTGGGGAAACGCTGGTCTAAGGCTTCTTATACCACCTTTCGCAGAAGTTTTTGGGATAGTCTTGCGATACAACCACCACCATGAAACGAGCAGTTAAAAGCAGCAGGAAAGCTAGGTTTATTTAAATTTATTTAAAGCATGCATATTAGGCATATAGCATACATATGTAGACATACATGGCCTACATGGGAAAAGGATACTCAACAGCCCATTCTTCAATATTTATACATTGCATGGGTGTGTTAAGCATCTCATTGAAACAAACCTGGATAACATAACATCTGAGGCGACATTTTTTCTTTTTTGTGTTACAATCAGGCGTAATTATTATTGCAATATAAAGTACTACTTAAGAGCTTCAAAAATAGAGACTTCAGCAACAGCCATATGTGTACATACCTAGAATTATGCCCAAATGAACAAAGTCAGACTGAATAAAAAAGAATAGGGAGGGGGGGTGACTTTGTAAGGAACAACAAGATACTCAAGTTGAGTAGCACAAATCTACCGTATGTAGCTCAATAGCTATCTTGCATTTGTTTTAAAAAGATGCTGAGTTTCACAAGCAGTAATAAGTTGCTTACATTTATAAATTTGCTTTTAAACATGTAGCTGTCACTCAGAAAACCTTGGAGCAATACACATCTTTGTGAGAAACTTTACAAAACCTTTTATGTTTATAGCAGGGGTGGAGAATAAAATCTGTCTGGTGGCCCAGATGGGTGGGGGGACTGCCCATCTGTCAGTCACCTGGCATAATCATTGCCCCTCAGCCTGATCCTGTTTCCCACCCTTCTCCACACATTAAATTCAAACAATCTGATGTGGAGAAGTATGCCTTGCCTCTCCAGGTGTTGAACCTTCGCCAGTGTTTACCAGTCTCTAGAAGTGGCTCAACTTTCTTATCTGAGATCTTTGCATTTCCCTCATGTGTGCTCACAAGTTGACCTTTCCAACTTAAGCTTTCTGGGGGGAGATATTAAATGAGTGAGTTTTATTTTAAAAAATAATGTAAGTATGTTTTTGGGTATATTTTTAATTGGGTTTTAGCCTACATTATTAAATCAGCCCTTGAGGCAGGCATACAGAGGATACACACATCAGAATCTTTCACCCTGGATCTTTTTTTCTCTAAAATGGCTTTCATCACTTTCAATAGTTCCACCAGAAGATTAACCCATTAGTACCTGGATGGCTAATATTTCGTAACTCTATGTTTGATGCTCTAAAAGAGAGCAGGGCACAAATACAGCAAAAAAATTGCAAACAAGCTTTTTATGTAGAAAGGCCCATATAATTGGTATGGCTTTTGGCTTTATATCAATGTAATCTGCAACAATGTAATCCCTTTGTTATCGGAAACAATCCACATACTTTACTAAAGGACTTGCAAAATCCAGATAGCAAGCGAGTAATAACTCTGGTTTGTTATCTTGCAATTTATCTTTCATTTATAAGGTGCTTAAGGTGCTTGATATGTGGCCTACAAATTTATTGAAGTGACAGCTATTCCCTGCATACTTAAAGTAAACTGTGTAAATCTTCACCTTTCCTTTTCTCAATTGTCAGACACATCTCACATTTTGCAGTCACCTAGAGACAGATTGGACATGGTGATGAATTACTGTGGTATAACCTTTATTTTGCTTACTTTTTTAGCTGCCCTAAAGGATGTGATTTCAGGATGGAGGCATTGCTAGAAAGAATACAGGGCAGGTATGTGTATACTAGTACTAGTTATTAATGGCATTATTCAGATGCATACATTACACAAATGCATAGATTACACTGAACCTGGAAGATGGGTTTGCACATGTGCTTCACATGTCAGTTTCTTCTCAGTCCCAGATATGATAGTTACTTCCACAATAATTGCGTTCACAGCTCCTGTTTTGCTAGCATTATGTGAAAGAATTGTGCTCTTCTCTGGTGGGTATTACCATTTTGACAGAAAAATAGCAGCTACAGCTTCCAGAATGTGCTTATGAAGCTGCTCTTCCTGAAATCCTCTAGAACAGGGGGGCCCAACCAGTCAACCGCGATCGACAGGTCGACCCCTGGGTGATCGTGGTTGATCGCAGGATCCTTACCGCTCACGTTGTTTAGAATCATGTCTCTGCCCCCCTGCCCCCTTGGTCTTTCGCTGCGTCACGTTTAGTAACAACTTTGGTCTGCCCCCCCCCCGGTAGATCACTGCCAGTTTTTCCCCCTGGGAGTAGATTGCATCTCCTGGGAGCTGGACATCCCTGCTCTAGAACATATTTTCCTCTTTGATCTTGTTGTTTTCATTAAAGGGACAGTGTATCTGTGTTTCTTCAGCTTTCTTACACAGAACTTGACACCCTAAGAATCTTGGTTTTTTATTATTGAACAAACATATTTTCCTTATGTGTCAGTCATGTCTTTGGAAGGGTCAGAAACTGCAAAGATGTAACCCATGTTTTCAGGAGATCAGGCTGTTGTCCAGCAATCCCTCACAAAGCATCGGTCCTATTTTTACCTTGCTTAATTATCATTCCCATTTACCCACAGCCACCTCAGTTGTCACTAAAATAACACAAGTCTTTGATAGCCCAATTCTTAAAAACAGATTAAATTGTGCAAATGGATGTGCAGATCTCCATGATTTCCATTACATAACAAATATAACAAATACATTTAATATTTTTACTGTAGAGTAGTTTACAGACCTTTAACATAAACCTTGAAATTAATTAGCATATACTGGGAAATCTACTCGTAGTTAGGATGCAGTCTGTAAAATGAAAGATGTAAACATAGACATATTTGAAACAAACAAAGCAGACCTATAGTGAAACATGATTTAAAATACTCAGCACTTTCATAATGTATCAACAATGTGTGAAAACAAGTTGCCAAGTTCTAAATGTTAGTGCCACTCCTGTTTTTAACATTTGATATTTTGGGGTTTGGGGGATGGCTAGGAGGGGCTTGCATATTTGTGTGTGTGTGTCCAATGCTACAGCGCCGTGGAGCTTCCTTTCTTGGCCAAGCTGTGATTGGCCTCATTAAGGAAAAAGCAACTTCTTACACCCTAAGGTAAAATCCCCAATTCTGAGCATCACTGTGGCTTATTCTCTGGTCTCCTGGCACAACAAAGTGAAGTTTTAAAACCACAAAGTTAGTGTCTTTAGAATTTTTGCCTCTATAGAAAAGCTGCCAAGTTGCAAAAATATTTGGACATTCTTGGGAAAATGAGGCATTTCAAACTCCACTTAACACTTCCTTGTTGTTGTGCTTAGGATTTGGAGTGGACCACAAAGTCCAAGCCTGATAAATTCAAATTAGCTGAAGCCCTTCTGGTCACTTTCATTTTTAAAAAATAATATGACCCCTGGTGTTATGCAGCTTCCCCGCTTTTATCCTTGTGAGTGTATTGTGGGCAATCATTGTATGCTCAAGTTACATTGCATTGCCCCGTTACATGCTCTCTGTTAGTGCTTTTGGCTGGAGGAACCCATCCCTTAGCATGGCAATAAAAGGATCCAGGAGAAGAGATGTCTTTGGAAGTATTACCATTGCCTGATTATTATGGTGTGTATGAGAGAGTGAGAGAAGCAAAGAAAGCTTTGCTTACCTGGTATCTCTCTCCGGTATTTGCTCCATGATTAAAGCAACCGTGCATGGTTTAACATGGAAAAACAGCATTCAAATAAGGGATGAGGATAATGTATTTATTTTTAATAGAAGTTTCCAGACTTCATGTGAAGCAGAACTACAGGAGCTGATGAAGCAGATAGACATAATGGTGGCTCATAAGAAAGCTGAATGGGAAACTCAAACCCGGGCACTAGAATCCTGCTTGGATGTGCGAGAGCAGGAACTGTCCTCTCTCAGGAATGCATTGGATGAGAAATGTAAAGAGGTACTTTTATAGCTTTGGTGCTATGTGTACTTGTCTATGCTTTCCTTTCTGAAATTTCACTGTAGGCTGTTGCACTGCATCAAGTTGTACCCCCTCTCATCTTTCCTATATCCTTTTATCAGTTTATGAATGCTGAATCAAAAATCCTGAAAGACTAGCATTACAACTTCAGCGTAGAAAAGGAGTAAAATATTCCAGTTCTAAAAAAATCTGGAGAAAATAAAATGTATTCACCTGGCTCCAAAGGTGATGTTGGGCTTGGCATCAGTAGAGCCTCATTGAGGGAGAGAATTCCATAATGGCACCATCAGCCCAGGAAAGGCTATATCCATGGCCACTACCTATCTCACTTCTGGGCTGGGGCAGGCGTGGGGAGACCTCACAGCAAGATCTTTGAGCTTAATGCTGAGGCAGATTCATGTTGAAGAAGATAATCCCTCAGGCACTCTGGTCCGAAGGTGTTTTGGGCTTTAAAAACTTTATACTGTGCTCAGAAACAGACTGATAGCCAGTGTTTTTCCAGAACTAATGATTGGCCTCAGTCAATATCTTTTCCACAAACTTTTGCATGAAGTAACATTTCTTCAGCCTTCAACGACAATCTTAAGTACAACTCATTACACAAGTCTAAAAGAGGCTACCAGAGTGTGAATAACTATAGCCACGTTATATGCACATGAAGCCCCGTAGCACAGTGTAATAACACAATTGTGGGGCAGAGCAATATTTTACTGCATCACTTTCTTGAATGAAACTACTGAAGAACAGCAACCCAAATTCCCATTTGGGACAACTGAACCTGAAGGATACCATGCTTGAGGTATCTAAAGCTGCTGAATATTCCAGGAGAGTTGGAAGGTTTGCCTTGTCCTTCTCCCAGGATAGGAACCAAGCCTTCTCATTTTGTTTAACATAATATATTATATTCCAGATATCGGTTTAAATTTTACTTTCCACTTTAGAATGTGACACGGCATCTTGGATTTATTCTGCAGTTGTTTCATTGTTACTGTGTATAGCTGGCACAGACAGTGTGCATTCTTTTTCGAGTTCCTTATTGTGGCAGGCTATTAATCTCACTTCTGAATAGGCTAATTATAGGCTTATTAAAATGTAATGAAGGCCTCCCTTTGGGAGCACAAACAATTTCTAGGAGCAGCACAAGCTTGTTCTGACACTATTTCCAAACCTCACACTGTGTCTACCTTGGCTCAAGAGAGAAAGTATAACCTGTGTTCCATTTTCCAATCAATGTTAATGTGGGCAGATGTGCTACCCTCCTCAGTTTTGTAGATTGTTGCTGTTTTGGGAGGGAAATGGAGTTGCTTTGCAGGTGTTCTTGCTCCTCTCTCCACCTTGGGAATTTAGAACATGCCAGGGGCAAAAGAGACACTTGCTCTATCCCATTTCATTGATCAGCCAAATCAGTGGTCTTCTGTTTTCCTTGTTACACTTGGGTAGACTCAACCACTTATTTGTGGTGGAGAGATCGTTGTAGCAAAGTTTGAGGAAAATAACGTGTAGAGAACCCTTCCTTAATTGTGCTGTACAGGATGATTTTCACAGTTTCTTCACTTTAGTGACTTTTTCCATTGTCCCATAAAAGTTGGAAAATAAAAGGAGAGGGTTTCTGTTGTTGGTCAAATGACATTTGGTGGCTTTCAGATTGAAAGGCTGTGTCAGCGACTAGAAGGGATGGAACAACTGAATCGTGATATGACTATGGAATATGAACAGCAGTTACGAAAAGTCCAGGAAGAGGTGAGCCTCCTCAAGTCCAGCTTTTATTTTATATTGTAGGTTACTGTATGATATTGCCATGTCTATAATCTTGTCATCTCATATATATATATATATATATATATATATATATATATATATTATGATGCAGTTCACATGAAAGTGCAAAAACAAGAACCTGAATCATGCATATGTCAATTCTTCCTAAAACCTTTTAACATCCCCTTTTTAACTTGTGGAATTTGCAGTGATTGCTGTTTTGCCTATTTAATGGATGCAAACATTCAGCAGTTATGTTATTGCAATGGGCACAAAAAGTGCAGTTTATTTTCTACATAATCACTGTGGGTTTTAACATGGATGTAAACATAAAAAGGTTTTGCTTCACGAAATGTTTGCAGTCTTTCCCTCTATGGCGTACTTTTATTTCCAGGAATTTAGAGAAAGTTTAATTTAAAGTAAGTACTTGATTGTTTTTAGTTCAACGAAGTCAAGCGGTATTAATAAGAGAACAGTTCACATACAGCTGAGTATTTCCACTCATTATTGGGAAATTGTCGATGGCGTACATCAAGAGTGGGGGAACCTGGAGCTCTCCAGCTGTTGCTGGAGTCCAAATCCCATCATCCTTGACCATTGGCAATGCTGATGGGAATTGGAATAACATCTGTAGGGCCAATGTTTTCCTATCCACATCATATGTGTACCTTGATTTGTTCCTTGTTTTACTCCACTGGGAGATCTCAAATAGCTTTACTTCTCTACTATCTATAGAACACTCGTTAAGCCCAGCATTTTCAAATATCTAGTTCATTTATATCATGTAGTCTTTTCACTTACATATATAAAAAATCTCATACCCTTCCATTCCTTTTCATAATCTGTGTTAGCCCTTTGGTTAGCTGACCCTTAAGAAAAACCACCTTATTGAATATCTTTAAGAGCTGAGTTTAACAAGCTATGTTAATTAACTCTAAAGCCTAGGCTCATTTTGGCATCTTTTCTTGCTAATAGATAAAAACATTTTGCCTTCTAAGCTCCACTTCTTTTTGCTGGTGGTAGTACAGTGGGCGCTCGGGTTGCGAACGTGATCCATGCGGGAGGCACGTTTGCAACCCGCAGCTCTGAGTCTGCACACGTGCAGGTTGCGATTCGGCATTTCTGCACATGCGCAAAGCGTGATTTAGCGCATGTGTGAGTGCTGAAACCCAGAAGTAACCCATTCCGGTACTTTCGGGTTTGGCGTGGTACGCAACTCAAAAACGTGCAACCTGAAGCGTCTGTAACCCGAGGTATGACTGTATATCGTTCTAATGGCTGTTGAGCTGCCTTTGCAAAGTCAGTTGGTAGCTTCAATTTGTTTGGGTGTGTTGGGGGCACCTCAGCTCAGAGTATTAAGTTCGAATCTTGCTTTCCCTGTGCTAATGGTTCCTTCAAACCACAGTTGTGTGGGGTGGACTGCTTATATTACAGCAGCTTCTCTGTGCATTATTCTCATGGGGAATTTGTGTCAGTTTTCTTCCTGGGGCCTTGTCCTATATGTTTCCTTGCTGTTTTCAGTGAAGTTTACTTCAAGTAAGTGTGTATATGGTTGCAGCCAAAATCTGATTTTAAAAAAATATTCTGTAAGAAAATAAGGAACAAAGGGCTTGCTGTACTGCAGCTATTTCACTATAAGGAGTTGGGTGCTGTGACAGCTTTTCATGTTTGGCCTTCGCTTTTGTCCTCCTTTCTTCTTTCTTGTCAGCTGCTTGAAGTTAAATGCCATATGAGACTTGTAATGCATTAACCTTTTTCTCTGGAGAGTTGGTTCAAGTGCGGCCTACTGTAGGCCATAAATAAAATTAATTTTGTGCTGTTGCTTTAGCAATCTGAAGACATCTGTCTACATTTTTAGAAGTCTTTTCATTCCAGCATGAGTAATGGTGCTTGTTTAGGAGATTCCCCTATGGGGATAGTAAGGATTCTGCCAAGCAAGATTGAGGTGCAGTGGCAGATATTTGCAAAGGTTGGAAGCTAGACTGGCAGCAGTATGGGGGCAGTCAGGAGGGCTGAAGAGTGTTAGCAATTCAGTAAGTATAGCAGAAGGCAGTCTAGTACAGCAATTCAGTAAGTACAGCAGAAGGCAGTCTAGTACAGCAATTCAGTAAGTATAGCAGAAGGCAGTCTAGTACAGCAATTCAGTAAGTACAGTGGTGCCTCGCAAGACGAAATTAATCCGTTCCGCAAGAGTCTTCGTCTAGCGGTTTTTTCGTCTTGCGAAGCAAGCCCATTGACGGATTAGCGCTATTAGCGCTATCAGCTGTTTAGCGGCTATTAAAGGCTTAAAGGCTTAGGGGATTAGCTGCTAAAAGGCTATTAAAGGCTATTAAAGGCTTAGCAGATTAGATAAAGGGGGAAAAGCGAAAAAAATCTAAAGACTCGCAAGGTATTTTCGTCTTGCGAAGCAAGCCCATAGGGGAATTCGTCCTGCGAAGCAACTTCAAAACGGAAAACCCTTTCGTCTAGCGGTTTTTCCGTCTTGCGAGGCATTCGTCTTGCGGGGCACCACTGTACAGCAGAAGGCACACACTAGCACTAGAGTGTGTAGTGTCACAATTTTTACTCTTAAGTGGTGCCCCCTTTTAAGAGTAGTGGTACTGCTATCTGGAATATCCACATTTGAATTATAAAATTACTGTAGTTTTAAGCACTTGGTCCACAACTAAAAATATCCCTCTCAATACATGCAGCTTTACTAAGAGACTGACTTGACTGACTCTTAGTGCAGATCCAAGTCATCAAACCTGAGCACCCACATCTGCCGCCTGCCATGACCCACTGTTGGCATTATTGGCAGCACCAGCAGCAGATACGCTCTGTACTTATAATAATAATTTATTATCTTGCTAATTATGCTGTTTTAAATGTGCACCTTGTATTTGACTTCCTTTAATAATGTTTTCTTTTAATGTTTAAGATAATGTTGTTAACCTTGCGGCGTTAAATGTACATTCTGTAGTTTACCTCCTTCGTAATGCTTTATTTTGAAATCTTTAAGACAATATTTTAGTTTCCTGTTACTTATGTTGCTTTGAGTTTATACATTATATTTCACTTTCTTCAGTAATGTTTTATTCTGGATTGTTTGATTTGGTGTTTTAATGTCAGTTGTAAACTGCGAGATTTTTTTCTAAAAAATATAAATAGGTATGGAAATGAAAATAATAATAGTAGTAGTAGCTTAATCTTTACTGCAAACTGTCTGTTCTCTTTACAGCATTTCCAGAGTTGTTCTAGACTGCCTTAAATCAAGATTCCTATTTTAAATGTATACTTTTTCTGAATAAGTATGCATCCCATGGATGCTATAACAGTTAAAACACTGATAGCTCATAGTTCCCTGCCAGTTCTCTCCCCACTTCTTTACAATTGCTTCATCATATTTTCTGATCTATCATAACTTCAGTCTACTTTCTGTTCTCTCTTTCCCCCTTCTTTATTTTCTGCTTTGCGGTCTTTTATTATTTTGTGAGTTGTCGGTTTGGAGGGAGTTAGAATAGGGATTTAATGGGAATATTTACTTTTGTGGGTTGTATTATTTTTATCCTTCCTCCATTTGTTGTAATAATGAAGTGTCCAAATAAAAAATAGAAAATCCATAATAAAAATGTATCCTACAAAGTTGCAATATTGCTTCAGAAAACCTGTGTTCCTCTACAGCACCAATCACAATGCTGTGAATTGCCTTGCTTTTCATACAGCTAGCTAGGCTGAAGAGAAGCTATGAGAAACTGCTGAAGAAACAACTGAAAGAAGCAAGGAAATTACCCTCCAGGAGCCAAGAGGAGGACCAATCTGAAGTAAGCATCCTGACTAAGAAGTTAGAGGTAAGTGGATAAAATGCAGCCCTGGTCCAGATTTCATAAATTCAGAGCTATGGAACTCAGTGGGGCTTACTTCTGAGTAGATATGAATTGGCCTTTAGTTTCTTTTCTCTAGTGCTTTCTGAGCAAGTATGTTTTCAGCTGTTTTTTATATACATTTGCATGGTCTCTTTGGAATCTGATGTACAAGCACTGGCAAGCACAATATTCATCAGATTTCTGAGAAAGTGTGGAAGAATAAGTGCTTTATTTTTGTTCAGTATGCTTTCCCCATTTGTGGTTAAAGAGCACAACTGTACATTATACAGAAGCAAGAAACCAGCCTGAACCATGACAGGTTTGATAAAAATCAGTGATTTCCTTTGAACATATTATTTTTAAACTGATAATTTAAACATTGAAATTGGATTTATTTTAAAGTAAAAATCTGATTTGAAACAAAGCTGAAGACCCTTGGACTCAAGGAATTTGTTCCATGATTCTTTGGATTCTAGCTTTAGACTTGAAGCAAGCTATTTGCTTAGTGTCTTTGTATATGTACAGGGAGCTTCAAAAGTATGTTGATTAATTTTTCAATTATTCTCTTGCCCCTATAGAAGTAAAAAAAAATATGCATCTGGACTGCATAACTAAATGCATTTGATTATACACAGGTATATTTAATTGCAAATTAAATATTTAAGGTATTAAATTAGATACTTAATTATTTAAGGAAGTGGGTCCCAATTAGCTAAGTACTGCAGACCTGTTTTTCAAAAGCCAAGTCAGGGGCCCCCTACTTTTGAAAATTTCGCTATCTCTATGGTAGTTTTTGTTATGTGAATGGTGCCATGGACCCCCTCGGTGGGTCTGTGAACCCCCAATTGTGAACCACTGATTTAAGGTATATTTAATTGTTTGAAAAGAAATATGGCCTAATTGTTCAATCAGTTAGCAGTCACACTTTGGGTAGTGTATGTTGTACCCCCTGATTAGCTATGCAGACCAGGACAGTGTGGAGCATCTTGGCTGGTCTCAGGCACTCTAACCTCCCTTTCTAGATTTGGACCTGAAAGGCCAAGGAAAAGTGTGAGTGCATGGAGGGCAAGGTGTAAGGAAGCACAATTTGTAACATTGCACAGCTTCATTGCTGATCACAGGGCAATGCATGGGGCAATGTCTGCTGTTAAGGCGGCTTTAGATTTCTCAGTTTTGTGGATCTTGAGCCAATATGAGAGAGTCTTAATTCTGATCTTAAGCCAGCAGGTTCTTTGATCAATGAATATGTAATAAGTTGCAAAAATATTTAGAAATGTTTTTGTATTTGCTACCTTATTACTGTAATATTTAGCAGAGGTGTGTTTGTGTGAGTATATGAGAGAAACAGGCACCTTATGTTGCATTTTATTCTTGGAATTGAACTTTGCGTATTTCCAGTATGTACAGGAATGTATCAATATAGTTCTATTGTTGGGGTCCAAGAAACTTTGCAGGGGGTCTTTGTAATTTGCATTCATGACACATACTGGTACATAATGCTTGTGCATTCAATCTCTGTGTGTCTACCTCCCTCCCTCCCTCTCTCTCTCTCTCTGTATGCACGTGCTTTTTTCAGATAGCCACATTCCAGAACTAAACCCATGCTACTGTGAGTTGAGCAGTGATGGAGTCAGAATGCTTCCTATGTCTCCCACTAGATACAGCCTTGAAAACATAAATGCTGCTTAGGGAGTTAATTATTTTAATTAAAAAATATTAAATTGGCACAGTTACAGATGTATACCATTGCCTTTATACATATGAAATCTCTGGTGTTCTGTATGAAAAGAGTGTGTGAGGATGAACCCTGAGGGCAATTAAGTAATCTCTGGTAATGGACAAGGAAAGTGCTTTTCCTGTCGTGGTTTTGAATGTGCAGGAATTAAATATACTTATGAAATCACAGAAAAATTGAGATTTCATCTGAGCTTGTACCATGGGATTTATTGCTTAATGAGAGAATTGCAATTTCTTGTGGAGTAAGTTTGTCCATCCCTACTAATTATGTCAAAAGCAGTATTTAATGTACTCATGCTACACAGCCTCATCCCACATAGTGCTTACACAAGAACAAATTTATCATTCAGGGGATGTGTAGCATTTTTTCAGATAAAATATATTTTACCTGGAACATTTGGAAAATGTTATATATTTGCAGTAGCATAATAACTCGGAGGACTGTGTGACACAGGATATGATAGAATCAGTTTTTTTAAAAAAATGTTCATTATTTAGAAACCCCTTGAGAGATAATGATGTGTTCTGATAAACTTAGTTGAATGTGTAATGACAGTTCATTCAAAGACCTGGGGATGCCTTCTTCCTACTGTTGGCTGGAAGCATTTTGTAGGGTCTTCCAAGACCACCTTAATTTTCCTGTCACGATAAATTCAGTATTGTTTTTCAGATGCTGTATCTTTTTCTGGACCTATCATTATTGCCACAGTATACTCGATGCTTACAACCTATATGGTCTCTGTAGCATGGTCTCTGTGGCAGACACTTTGAAAAACAAAACTCTAAAGAACTCTCAGATTTATAAAGGCATTTGCCCAACATCTATACAAGCAATAACTGGCATAAAAAAATAATGGACTGGAAACCAAAATAAAATATTGTTCTTATGAATGGTTGTATTAGATTACAGTAAGACCCCAACATACACAGCGTTACATTCTGGGGATCACACCTAAAGCCAAAATTGTATATACAGTGGTACCTCTGGTTACGAACTTAATTCGTTCCGGAGGTCCATTCTTAAGCTGAAACTGTTCTTATCCTGAGGCGCACTTTCGCTAATGGGGTGTCCCATTGTGTGCGTGCCTCTGGCGTGCGATTTCAGTTCGCATCCTGGGGCAAAGTTCACAACCAGGAGCTGCTACTTCCAAATTAGCGGAGTTCATAACCAGAGGTACCACTGCACTCAAAACACATTGGGTTCAGTGGTGGGTGGGATTTGCCAAAGTCTCCCTCCCCCACCCGTTGCCCACCCCCTTTTTATTTGTTTGTTTATTGCCAAGCACATAAAGCTGAATGTGCGTAAGTTATATGCATGTACGTTGCAGGCTTACAGTACTTAATGAGGTTCTTGACTTGGATAAGGATAGGGGCAAGATAGAAAATACTGGATTTGGGATAGTGGGTATTTTTCAACCACATCGATAGCGATTACCAATTGTCTTTACAGGAGTTCCGCCAGAAATCTCTAGATTGGGAGAAACAGCGCTTGCACTACCAGCAGCACGTGGCATCACTGGAAGCACAGCGGAAGGCTTTTTCTGAGCAGTCTGATCTCATTCAGGTAGAGTTAACGGATGATGAGTTTGCCTTGGAAAGGACTTACTGGCAGACTTCAGAGCCTTAGCACAATTTAGGTTACCAGTGAAATGACAATGAAACTCCTGATGGAATAACCTTGTCCTGTTCAATATGTAGACAAAGCCAGGAAATAATCTGAAAACTGTACAGTGGCTGGAAGGCAATTGCCTATCTTTGCTGTCAAGTGCCAGCTGGAGAAAGGCCATAAAATGATTCTGGTTGGGTAATTGCACAGTGTGAAAGAATTAAAATACGATGTTGTTCAAAACTGTATAGATGCCAGACAACATGCCACCAGGTGTATGCAACCTGTTTAAATAATGATTTTTAAAAATGGTGCATTTCCTATGTGGCAGGGTAACCAAGGTAGTGTTAATGCATAGCTGTGCTGTTTGTGTCTCTTGAAGCAAGCGTGCAGAGCCTCTGCTGTTTCTGAAAAATTAATCTGTTCATTGAGTTAGTGCCGCTGTGGCTTAGTTTAACACCAGGTACCAGCTGTGAATAAACTTGGTCTGACACAAAACACTGGAGTTGCTGATAAGAAGCTCTTGCTGGGAGCTTTGCACTTAATGGACTCCACAGTTGCCACTGAGTGGAAGTTCTGCATGGCAGAAGTTGGCAGTGACAGGATTAAGGCTGACACTGATAGTGGCTTTGTGAAAGATGCTCACAGATGTGCTTGGACAAAGTGTAAGCCTTTTGAAGACAAATACCTTGCTGTCTCTGTGCCTGTGTTTTTGATGGCTTAGTCTATTGAAAGCAGATTTGTTTGGAGCCTTAGCTAGAAGGTCATATCAGTGACAGGGCAGCAAAAAAACCCAGGTAGTAGGATTTTGATTCTCAAAGCAGTCAAAGGGCAGTATTCGGTGAAATAGTTGCAGATGCACGCAAGGATTACCACCAGTGCAACAGGACTTCCCACTCTCTCTTGCCACCTGCGCCATTCTCACATCTGTTCTTGAGGGTTGAGGGAACTTCTAGAACAGATCTAGGGGATGCAGGCGGGAGGAGAGGGGAGAACATTCCATTGGCATAGGGGAAATCCTTGCACTGACAGAACCCTAGTCTATATTTAATATAACTCAAATAATTCTTAACTGCAGGTATGCAGTAGTCCTGTTGACATTGATTTGGGAATAAGTTGTATTAAAATCCATATGACATACACTTGAGGGTGAATAGGATTGCCTCCTTGGATGCTTATGATGTGGGTTTTCCAGGGGAAAAATATTTCATTCATTCATAGGCCACCTTTATCTTCCAAGGAGCTCAATAACATGTTAATTGTACAGGTATATGAATATCAGAAAAGTTTTTTCTGAAAGCCAAGAATAGTTGAGAACTGAAACACTTGATGAGAGAAAGTAATTAAAGTTCACTTAGAGTGGTTTATTACATTCATAGAGATTCAGAGCTTTACTTGGAAATTATTTTGATAAGAATGCTTGTAAATATTTTAAGAAGTGAAACTCAATTACATACACTTCCCTTACATTATTTAGATTATAAAGTGGAAAAATGAAGGCACTCAAAAGCATTTTGTTAGTTTTAGCATGCTTGAAAAGCTGTGTGCATAAATATTTTTAAGGGTTTGTTGCCTAAAAAATAATTACAAATTCCATCTTAAATTTCACTAGCTTTATATCCATTCCAGTTGACCAATTTGATTTGTATTGTGAAACAATGCATTTCTAAAAGCAGAAAAATACAATACTGGAAACTTTCACACCCTACATAAGTTGGTTGGATACCTTCAGTTAAAAACAGTGCATGCCTAGGTTGCTTTAAAACTCTCAGTTTGAAAGCTTTCCTATGCAGTGGGGAAGCCATCCTGCACAAATGGTTTCGTGTATGTATATCCCTTAACTTGTATGTATGTCTTACAGGACACATTATGTCTGCAGATTCCAAACATATGTTTGTCTTTATTCCCTTTATCAGTTATAGTGACCATCTAATAAGTGAAAAAGTGATATTTCTTGGGAAACTTTTGTTGCAGTTGGAGAAGTTGGACATGTAAACCTCTTGCTGCTCTTTTCTTCCAGAAGTGGTGTCGTGATCACTGCTACAAGTAGACAAAAATAGAACCTAACCCATTTCATTTATGCCAGGAATGGGGAGCTTAACAGAACAGTGCTCTCTGTGTTACAGGCTCAACTGTCCAGCCGGAAGCAAATGTTTGAGTCTGTGGAGCTGGCGAGCCAATCTGAAATCCATCACTTAACTAGCAAGTTGGAAAGGGCCAATGACACTATCTGTGCCAATGAACTGGAAGTGGAAAGGCTGAATATGAAAGTGGATGATTTAACTTCTAGCAATCAGAAAATTTTGGAGGAACATCAAAGAGTACTAGATGAGCTGAAAGTTTCCCGGAACTCACTGGAGGTCTGTGAGTGAATTGCTTGGAAGCAGGTTAATATACAGCTTGTAATGGTAGTGGGCTGGCAAGTCACTAATTAAATAGGCTTCCTCCCAGCTTTATCCTGAGCCTAATTGAGAAGCAATGTCTGATAGGGAAGGGATTGTTCCAAGTTGTCCTCCTCTTTGGGTATATGCACAAGCACAATAGCTTGCTTATTCTAAAATCTTAATCCCATTTGTTGTATCTTTGCATCACTAATTTCCATCTTCTCCTCTGAAGGTTCTACATGAAGAAAAGATGGAACTTAGGGCCACTCTGCTCTCTCAGGAGGACTTCATTAACAACTTGCAGATGCATAAAGAACAATTACAGAAGGAAGTGTCCAAACTAACGGAAACCTTGCAAAACAAAGAAGCTTTTGTCAGGTATGGGTCTTGGCATCAAAACATACCCAAATTATGCCCTTTGCCTGAAACCTAGATATTCCTAGATATCTAGGAAAAGTCTGTAGCACATTTGTTTTTTCAACCCAACTGAAGATAGATAGTGATTAGTATTCAGCATTTGCTAAAAACGTTATTTAAAAAAAGGAAAAAGACAGGATTATATCAGTCCACAACATGATTTAAGGTGGATTTTCTAAATGTTTCTTGGAGAGAGAAAGAGAAAATAGATTTTATATTTTTAACTGACTGTCAATTAACTGTTGCCAGTTTGAGAGGCTTTCAGTGAGGCGTCAAAACATCCAGTGGAAGTTACCATAACCTACCTCTCCCTTTTGAGAACTGCTTCAGTAGGTTAACAAATACACTTGCTAAATTTAATTGTTTGTTCTTGTAATAGTAGAATAATGCCTCTGGTTATTTATTCTCTACACCACCAATCCTACTTCTCTGAATTAAAAATTGCCACCGTAGTAAATTCATGCATTTTGAATTACATTTTGTGAGGGTACACATTGGCTCCTTTTAGGATTTTGTACTACCGTCCAGTGAAATATGTGAAATTTCAGCCAGACCAAATGCATTTATTGAATGTCTTATTATTTGTTCCTTTTATATTTCAAGGATCCACAAATTTTGACTGGCCTTGATAAGCAAGGACACTTGTGTTTGACATAGACCCCATCTCACGTGGGGGATGGGGTCTTGTCTCTTGGTAACATACTGAACTTGAGGTAATTGGAGAACATTCAAAACCTAGCACAAATGTGAGAATTAGCCTTCTTCCCTTCTCAGATGGTATGGAAGGAGGCAAAAGCTTATCCCTGTTGTGTATCCTAATCACTAGGATGGAGTCAGTCACCAGATCATCTCTGGCAAGCAGATATATGGACCTTTGCTTTATTGTATGACTTTAAAGTGTTTCAATTCCCCCCTCCCCCCCCAAAAAACCCTCTTGTTGGATGTTGGCTTTCATAAGTTGAGCACTTTTCTTGGGCAGAAATTGTAAGGTGGATGATAATACTAGAATAGAGTCATACTTCTCATCATCCTTCCTTACCGATTAACACCTAGAACACCATTTTAAACTGTAAGATCCTTGTGACTGATAGTTACGACCTACTGAGAGTCCCTAAATTACTGCTCCAAGCTTTAAAAAGGCAGTAGTAACTAATTGACCTGCTTTTCTTGTAACACTAAGCCAAACCATTGCTGAAAACAAATGTGTGGTCTCCCGGAAAAGAGTGTGGCTGCTTCATTTGTTCTTGAGTCCTCATGCAAGGTGAACCATGATTTGGATTAGTGTATTGTCCAACCCAGGTTCTTTGTTTGTCTCCTTCAGACAAACCACAAGCTTTAACCAAGTTTTGTTTTTGAATTACAGTTTGTGATTTGTTTCGAGGAGACAAACCATGAACCTTGATTCGGATGGCACACTAAGCCAAATCATGGCCTATATCACAACAGTAGCAGTAGCAGTACCAGTGGGGAAGCAATATTGCCACAATCTCCCTTCTAGTTTGGTTTGGCTTAGCATTACATGTGAACTGGGCCATAGCTCTGCCTGGCCAGAGCTTAAGGTGAGTAACATGCAAGGGCTGTGCTGTTCCCTTTTTCATTTGCAACGCTGATGGCGAACATGATTATTTCTTCCACGAATATTTCATTGAATGTTAAGTGCTTTTAATTCAGAGTTGAGGTACTACTATCTATTTTAATCATATATTTAGCACTTCAGAAACAAGCATTGCAATATCCATCTGTGTTGTGGGTCTGTTTGCACATCTACTAGAACTGGTGTGTCTGATTTAATTTGGATGTCAGAAGGCTACAATCTTCAGGAACTCACATGTCTTCTTGTACAGGTCGCTGGAAGAGTGCCTGCAAAGCAGTGAAGGAGCCAATGGAATCTATCGTAGCAGGACAGAGTTGGACAACATACACTTGCAGCTACATCATCCTGAAATTATTCATCTTGAGGGCAGGTAGATGATCATTGCAGAAATTTATCCACCTTTACAAATGAGTTTGAATTTAGAAGATAAGTTCTGCATCTTTACCGTAGCAGCGGGCTCTAATGGTGACTTAGAAATGTCTAAACTTTTTAGTCATTTATTTAGGGTTATATGAATAGGACATCCTTACTTGGAGATGCCTGACTGTAATTTAAGACATTTTTATCTCACACAAAGGTCTAAGAATCATATATGCTTGCTAGGTGACTAAAATTACAACTTCTCATCAACTGTTGAATTGTTGAGTGAGCAACAAGCTACCAAGGAAAAGTTTCTGTAACTTGGATGTTGCTCAGTGGGATTTGTGCATCAGATTTTTTTGCGGGGGCTCAGATAATTGCAAAATGGCTGCCACTCTCCTCTCTGTAGTGACTTGCTACAATAGTTTACAAAGTCTTTTGTGTTTTGCTGTGCTTGTACCATTTTGGAATATAGCCTGGGTTCTGCAAATACAAACCATGCCCCGCTGAGTGAATTGCTAACTGAGAAATGCCGGGAACTGCAGCTGACAGAAGAGCACCTCTGCCAGGCTAATGCTGAGATAAAAAAGGTGAGGGCCTTTTGTGCAAATAAAAGATGTGCAGTGATATATCATTTTAAAATAGGTTTGGGCACTGTAGGAATCGATGTTGTTACTGAAAACCCCATTATACCTAGTAAGCACCCTTGTTTTTAATGGTTGCTTCTGAGTTTTGTCTATGTATTAGATGTCATCTGTGTATTAAGTTAAGAATTTTCTGTGATGTGGCTTGATGTTCATTTTAGGGATTTTTTTGTCCATAGATTGGAACAAACTATGCAACAACCAGCTTCTTCAGTTTCTGTGTCTTAAGTCCTTCCCTCAATTTTGTTTAATAGCTCAGCCTGGTCCAATGGCTAGGTCAGTGAGTATTTCATATAGAATGGAAAGCAATTTTTTTTTAGTGTTCAGTTGTGTTCAGCATTAGTTTTAAATGGTGCTTACAATTTGACTATTTTCACCTATCACCTTTTTTGATGACAAAAAGTGGGTCCTTTACTCTTCTGACCTCTGCATTTTGGTAATATTTTTAAAAATACTTGTCTTATTTGCACTTTTGTGTGCAGTAGAAGCTCAGGAACAGTCAGGGGGCATTGTTATAATGTGAATAATTCAGTTTGCCTGTCCACTTGTGGGTAATTTGCTAGTTTATCATTAATCCCCTGATTCAATGAAATACAACTGCCCTAAGAATGCAGAAGATCAATGTATACAGGCAGAACTATTACACTGTGCATTAGTACTGAATGAATTATGAAACAGTGCTGCTCACTAGGATCAAGTAGTGAGCAACTGGAGGACGTTGTGCTTCCAGAGAGCTTAGTATACTGAGATTTCTGATAATCAGTGAAATGTTAACTGCAAATTTTGTATATGTTTCTGTCTAGCTGAAGGAGCAGCCATTGCACAAAGAACAGAGTCACAACAGTGAGTTAGAAGGAATGAAGCAGGAGGTTGCTCAGCTAACACGGGAGCTTCACCAGCGTGACATCACAATTGCCTCATCAAATAGTTGTACTTTAAACTTGGAGCAGCAACTAAAAATGGAGATTGAAAAAGCAGAACGGAAGGCAGTGGAGCACAGGGTAAATAGGCTGTTATCCCTCAAAATGTTTTGATGTATAGCAATTAGAGCAGGGGGTTGCCAACCTTTATGGAGCAATGGGCACATCTTGCATTTTGAAAGAGTGCTGTGGGCACCAGTCACAACATGCCTGCCATGGGAGGGGTGGCATAACAAAAAATTTGTGCAGTCATGGTGAAGCTTTTTCTATAATTGTATTTCCATACTGGAAAAGGCTAAGCCTTTTCCTCACAGCTGTTAAAGGCACAAAAAGTCTGGTTTTCCCCAATGCCAACCCCAACCCATAGCCTAAAGTGCCTCATTAAACACATGTATACCATTGTACTATAAGTAGACTATGCAGTAAATTCTTAACGAGTCCCTGGTTTTTAGCTTCTCTGCAGGTAGGAGACATGCCTAAGCCTCTTTCATAAAGTTTTCACATTTGCATTTGGCAGAGGAGTAGAGATTATTTAATATTAGAAAAAATAATAATTTCTAGGGCATACCTAATCCCAGATGAACCCACTGCAGAAAAGATGTAGCTTGGTGTGGCGTTCATACAGAGCCCCCAGTTGTTTCACGGACTATTGACCTGCACACCACTACTATATTCTTCCGCTGCCACCAATTTTGTGGGAAAAACCCAGGGTTCCCCGGTGAAGTATTGAGTCTCAGTCAGGTAGAGTTAACAATGAAGATTAAAGTTTATTTCAAACACAAACAAGTTTTAAAATATTTTTGAAAAGCTGTCAGTCTATTCCCTCACAATCATGTCCCTGTCTCTAACTCACTCTGACTCCTCTATCTCCCCCCCAAAAAGAACCAACCGAACTAACTGTCAAAACCTCTGGGCTGAGCCTCAAAATCAGGTAGGCTCCACCCCCAGGCTTTCTTATTGGTCAACCTATTAACCCTTTCTCTCCCCCAATACAAACGTATCCCCAAAGAATGGGCAAACACCACACTTGGTTACTAGGGAAAAAGGAAAGGCAAACTATGGAAAGTCTGAGGTCTCAAAAATAACACAGAAGCAGAGAGGCCACTAAAGGAGAGAAGGAAACAGCTGCTCTTTGGGACCCCAGGGAGAGCTGTTGCCTGGTGTCCAAACAACTCATTTATGAACTACAGCTCTCATGTATTCATTGGCAAAAACCACTACCAGCTGGGAGTAGCCAGGCTGGCTAATTTCAGAGAAATTGCATAGAAAGCTGCCTGTACATTTTGATTTATAACTTCCTAGGATGGCTAGAAACTTATTTTTTAAAAACAAAATATCAGAGTCTTGGGGCCCTGCCTGTGGGTTACTGATGAAGAAGGCTTTTGCAGGAATGATGGCACCCATGGGTGCCTGGTTGGTGAGCCCTGCATTAGAGGAAACCATATGTTGTGGGATGACACTTCTTTGGTTGCATGTATGTTCCAGACCCTTTAGCTGTATTGGCACCACATTTTCAGAGTTAGCTATGAGGGCTAGAAACTTGCTAAGATTAAGGTTGCAATTCTCAGATTAGCACAAGTTTATGGGCTGTATGGTTCCTCCATGTGAAATATACTAACAGGAAAAAATGGTAACTTCTCCCCATCCCCCACCCTGTCACTTCAGGCTGTTTTGTCGCAGTTGGAATCTCTTAAGCAAGACAATCACCAGCTCTCAGAAATTCTTCAGAAGGTAAGTGTCTGGTGTGATGGGATGTGCTATTTGAAGTGTTGTGCACTTGTAGTCTCTCTAGAAAACACTTGGCTTTTGTGTGTGTTGTGCAGGCAAGTGCATCTTTCATATATTTATACAAAGCTTTGAAAGGTGATTTGATATTTTTATACTGAAGCTTGCAGGTTAAGTCACAGTGGGGTTTAAGTGAAATTGGTGAGACTTACTTCTGACTAAACATCCTAAGTGTTAGGATAGAAAGATGGACAGATTGAACTATGTATATTTTATTTTCTGGGCCCACTAGGTGTCAGTGCAATGTTAGTGAAGGAGAGTATAAAATGAAGCATTGCAATAAATGTTGACATTCAAAGCCTGCTCCACACAATGTTTTGATTGAACCCCTACACATAGTTATAGTAATTTGAAGCCCATCCACATTGTCACAGAAAAATTGTGCTGTCTCTTCTCAGTAATAAGAACACTGTTGCACATGATTTCCCCTGATGAATGTTGCTGAACTGGTGGAACTTGTTTTCTGCACATGGCTGCAGCAGACAGAATTGTCTCATATTGGTGATTAAAGTGGGCATATCAGAGGGTGGTGTCTTCTTGTGCCCCTCCCCACCCCAGCCCATAATTTAAGCTCTCTGGAGAAAACAAGCATTTGAGAACAAAACATTGAAAATTGAATACTAGTGAAGATTTGTCTAGGGCATTTAATTTTAGTAGGTATTAAGAAGAATACAATTTGGTTTGTGTTTATAATCAAGTGAGATAATTTGGCTGTTCAGACATTGTACGCGCGCGCGCGCACACACACACACAGTCTCTTCTGTACCTTGTGAGGCAACGTGTGAGCCTTGGGCTTCCTTCCATCTCTTTTCCCACTTTTGTCATTATGGGGAGAAGTGAACCAAATTGATCCTGTGTTAGTTTGAACATGGGATCTCCCTAGACTTTGGAAAATCTCCTTGTTCATGTGTTCATTTTTAGAACAGATAGGGTGAACAGGGCAGCAGCTCATGAGTCCAATAGCCCTCCACATAGAGGGGTGGGAGTTATGTCCCTACAACCTCCATGGGGAGTTGTTCTGAGTTTGATTTTGTTCTTCAGTTTACATATGTATTCATATTTTGAAATGAAATTAATCTAGATCACATGTTATAAAATGTGTTTCAATGTTTTGATGTGATGAGAAACAAATGGTACAGGTTTGATAATGTTCTGTGTCTCCACTTGAAAATACAGAAGGAAATTTCACTTGAAAATCTTGAAGGACATCTCAGCATTTGCAGATGTGTTGCAGCTCTTGCAAGCTGATTAGAATAGGGAAGTGAAGGAGACTGGGTAGAGATTGACTGAGTTAAATGATCTTACTAAGGGAAATTACTGAGCTAAAAACTTGGTATTTTAAAAATGGATGTGTTTGCTCAGTGTTTCTCAGCTGACATCAGTTACGCTCTGATCTGTGTGTGCATGCGTGGTTGGATTTCTTGGTAATGGATCTTGGACTCGTGACTCTAGAGGGGTCAGTCCCAGCTGGTTATTTAAGCTTTTCTCTGCAGTTGGCAAATACACTAATCACACAGCGGTTTCAAATGAATGGAGTGTCAGGAGATTTTTTGTATATCCAGGTACAAGCAGGCAGTCCCATTGGCTTTGGTGTTAGTGGCGAGCTATGCAGCTGGAACACATTTAATGTGACTGACGTTTAAGTGATCACAAATTGGTCTTGAAGTTCACACCCAATTGAGATGAATGAGGGAAGCTTGTACCTATGTAGTTCGGTCTTTCTAGATGTAGACTCTTTCAGACAGCTGGTGATTGATTTACGCTCTGAAGGGATTTTTTCCTAGTAGAAGACTTGGAAAATTTACTTCTTAAATTTGCAATACAAAATCAAACTTTCTAGGGAAAGCTGGGCTGGTGAACAAACACAGCAGCGCTGACTAAAGCATTTCTGTCACCTTAAGGGAAAAAGTGCCCCCCTGGCAGAATTCCAGGAAAGTTATACCAAAGCCCTAAATAAGGTGGAATCTGAAAACCAGCGATTATTGAAAGAACTAGCAGAAACTAAAGCCAGCCTGGAAGCCTCGTCCCGCAGGTCTCAGGGCAGATATGAGAATATCATGCAGCAGATGCAGCAGCAGATGACTGAGATAAAGAATGTGGAAAGCAGGTAAGATCTATGTGTTCAACAGGTTTTTCTCTTGTTCTGATGAATTGTTTACAATGGCTGAAATCCTAGTATAGCTTGACGACTATGGTGTTCTGAAGAGTCATTCTGCTGTTACACCTTGAAGTCTCTGTGCACTGCATGTGTTTCCCCCCCTGGAATTGAAAACAGTTTGTTCCTAAACGTTCTTGCATAATATTTGCAGCTGAGAAGAGCTGGTCTGTATTGAGTGATTTTTTTTTTTTTTAATAATCCATGTTCAGGAGACTGCAAGAGCTGCAGTGTAAGCATGAAGAAGAAATGAGAATACTTCAGGATAAATATGACAAGACTGTTCAGCACTATGAAGAAGAAATTCAAAAGGTGCAGCATTTGTCAACCAGAAGAGTTTTTAGTACAGCTGATGGACTGTCACCCCAGATTAGCAGGAGCAACTCTGTTGAATCCTTGTCCTGTGATCCCCTTCTGAGATCAGATTCCTTGCCACATGGAAACAGTGAATTTACTTATATGTTAGGCAAGAATGAGAAAGAACTTCTATCTTTGGTAAGCATGAAACAAAGTGTCACACCAAGTTATATGCAGAATCCATTAGATGCCTAATGTAAAACCACTACCACAAATGTTTGATGTGTGTGTTACTCAGACTAGACAAATCTTATTTGAAAAAGTCTTCCAAATGCCATAAAACCTCTGTTCAAATGAAGATTGCAAGGATTCTGTAGTAGGACACCAGGTGGCAGCAGCTTGTTGACAAGAGGCATAGAAAGGGGTGTCCCAAGTTCAACTGAATTGTTCCTTGTCTCCATGCAGACCAAAGCGGATTCCACTGCCCCTCTTCAGTTGACTTGCTGCTTATCAAAGCCTGGGCTTAAGATTGGATGAAAGCATGGGCGAACAGGGAGGGCTTGTTCATAGGTCCTACTTCTCTATCATTTCTTCCCAATTCCCTGTGCTTTCTTTGCTAGTGGTTTGCATGCACGCACATGGCATGGTGAGATTGGCCAACGCTGCGCTAGCAGTGAGTTCGTTGCTGGCATGCTGCAATCCCTTCTATGGATAAGCAGCTCTTTATCATGCCTACCTCTCTCCTAGGAAAGCTGTAAACAACATTCACACCAATACATTCAAAGTACTGCAAATCCACTTTGAACAGTCACAGCTTCCCCTAAAGAATTCTGGGAGCTATGGTCCCTTTACAGGTTTTCACAGTGGTTTAACAACCAACCCCCTTTCACAGGGAACTCTGGAAATTGTAGGTCTGTGAAGGGATAGAGGTTTCCTAACAACTCTTATTACCCTTAACAAACTACATCTCCCAGAATTATGGGGGACGTCATGTCTGTTTATAATGTTTTGAATGTGTGGTGTGATTGTGGCCTTAGACATTATAATGGTAGCTCTTGCAATGGAGAACCATGTGGAAGTGGACACACTGAAGTGGGTGGAATAGGATTTGGTGCCTGCAATGTCTAGTATTGAGAAAACTGAAACATTGATATTAAGTTGTTCCTATAATATGAGCTATTGATACACTCAGGTGCAATGTAGGTCTTTAGTACAGTAGCTCCAGAAAAGGCAGCATATGTCCTCTTACACTTATACAGTTTCTATTGGTTGTGTATTTAGGGTTTAACTCAACTAAGGACTTCTCCTTGTGTAACAAGGCTTCCCCACCTGCAATGACCCCAAAATTGCCTTGAGGGCATATGGGAGAAACCCCAGAACATGCGGAGGGAGGAGAGGTGGGGTTCATTCTGTCTGACAAGCTGAAATACTTGTGCAGACAGAACGATTAGAAGTGTGTGACATTGAATTCCACCCTATAATTTTATTTTTGAAAGATGTGACTCCTTGACCATAGCTTGCTGAGGTATATTGAGAATCTTGAGGGGAGCATGAAAGGCTTACAGTTCAATCCTAACCTTGTTTAATCAGAAGTCAGCCCCATTTCTGTGACTTGAAATCCTAAAAATATTTGAATTAACTTCAGTGTTTTAAAGGCAAATAATAATTACTAGAGTTTTCAGTCATGATTTCTAATGTACAACTTCATCACACCCAATTTAAGCTCAATAGATGAAAGCTTAGGGGGTGGGTGGGTGTGCTTAAAAGCAAACTATATTGAAATAATTGAGATTTAATCGCCAAGTTAACATGTTTGGATGATGGTGTAAGCCAAATACTAGCCAAATATCATATAATCCAACATTTTCACATTTTTCAGGGTTAAATATATACCAACAGTGCTGAGATGATGCTTTGCTTAGGGGATTTCTATCCATAGATGCAGTTAAATAGTAAAATGTAGCAATAGGCCAGAAATAATCTTCTGGTTGAGTCCTGTTCAACATATATGTTTTATTTTTAGAGCCCGTTGCCTACAACAAACATTGGTGCGATTGCTGTCAAGTTCTTGGAGGAGGAAGAAGAAAGATCTCAACATATCTTAGAACGCTTAGATGCACATATTGAGGAGTTGAAAAAGGAGAGTGAAATGACAATACAGCAGTTCAAACACCAAAAGTGACATTGCTTCAAGACCCAAGGATTGGAAAGCTGGCTTAATATAAGATGCATCAAGAAGGGGACCAAGGGAGCCTTCAGCAGCTAGAAAGGGGCTTCTCTTCTTTTTCCTGGTTTTAGTGGTGGTGAAACCAAGGAAATGAAGTTTGTCTGGAGAAAAGCATTTTGTCTGGGGGCAGTAATTGCACTACTTTCTAGATGCCTTATTTAGTCCTGCTGCGCAAGAGTGTGCAGTGACTTTCAGGAGGGAATGATGTAGTGCTTTTTTTTGTAAAAGAAAATAAATCTATTTTATATGTATATATCCATGTGAATAAATAAAATAACAGCTAACCCATCTTCTTATATCGTTACAACCCATGTTGCTGAACATTTTGGGAATTAGGTTACTTTTTGCTTCCAATTTTGCTTGATGTTTATTCCATGAAATATGTCATTCAAACAGTTTGAGAAACCAAGAAAAGGAGTTGTGATTTTGCTTCCTTTTTAGTTTTCCTGTAGAGTTGGAGTTTCCTGTACTTTGTGTTGCTATCACTTGCATACCAAACACTACATAATGATGTGGCAGTGGTTCCATTGGGGGTCTGTTTTATTACTATTTATCTTTCATAGTTGAAGAGGACAAAATGCAGTGAAATAGATACTCCATGAAAAGAGAGGGTGTTTTGGTGGAAGATAAGTTGGTACAGAACGTGAAGTTCAATGTAAGTAATAAACACCTATACATGAAATCCATTTTACTTAAACAACAGCTGCCTTATGAAGTACTAAGCAGCTGCTCACAGCCATAAGAGCAAATTTAGAAGGCTGGTCAATCTGCCAGACAGCTATTAAAAAGTTGTTTTAGCTTAAACAAGAAATGTGTATCTTTAAAAATGTGTCCTTGAGCAGAAACCAAGATCCCAAGCATTAGGCTTCCATTCCCACCCCAATTAATCCTTTCTGCCTATTGGCCCTTGATAATCCAATCTGAATTACTAAAATGAATTACTAGATTTAAAATATTTTCAGTGAAATATGAAAATGGTGGAGATATTCAGCCTTGCCCCCTGAATCCTTAGAATAATCCATGTGTTCATTTAAATTCTAAATCTCTTGCTTTTCCTTTTCAAAGGCTTCTGTTCATCTGCATGCAGTCTATACCTTTCATTTATTGTTTCTTCTATAGGTCAGAGAAGCCCCTGTATGTGACCAATATCTCCCCTTTTCAATAACATATATTTTTAGAGGTTTTAACTTGAATTTGCTCCCATATACATGATGGTATTAATGCTAATTATCGTTTGCTGAATGGATGATCTTGAGAAAGTGGAGAACATCTGTATTTCTAGATGCAGAAAGGTTTGTTGCCAAGCTGAGGATGTTACTGCTGCTAGAAGGCTGGCCATAATTAACAACCTTCTGGATCTTGATTCAGGAGAATTCCTACTCTGCAAGAGCATCTTTTTGATGTTTGCCTCCATCATAAATGTAATAGTCTCTGTACATCACCAACCTCTTTCCAGTGTGCTAACTCCTATGTTTTGCTTGCTGTGTTTGATTTTTATGGCTTCATGTCATTCTTCGTCAACACCTCTCACAGCAGCTTGACACTGATAGACAATATGAAATCAAATGTGGCATGAAGACAGATTTTTTTAAAAAATTATGTTGTTTTGTAGGAATGGTGAACAGTTCTTGTCAAAGCACACAGAGCAAATATTTTTTGTGAAAAAATGGTTGGGTGGCTGCCCCAGCAAAGTGAGTATACTCTATCATTTCTTGTGTAAGAGCCCTGGTGTTAACATTTTGAGTAGAGGGACTGAAAGTACAGGAAACAGCTGCTCGAGTCAAGAAACACATGCTACAGATTTACTCCTTGGAAGAAAGAAGTCAGACAGGGAGACCTTGTAATTTTGCCCTTCATACTGAGCAAGGAACTTCTGTCATACATGAGGAACCTGACATGTACATTGGGATTAACTTTCCCTGCACATAGAGGTGACTTCTATGGGAGTGGCCAGCAAACTAAGTTTTGGATCCCTGAAAACGTGAATAGTTATGAATCCATTCCAGATGCATTTTCAGAGATGTTGTGATTTGTTTTTGTGAAACTTAAGAGTACAAAAATAATCACTTCGTAACAAATATGACAGCCTTTAAAATGGACTGCTACTGAATGAGAATAACAAAAATTCTTCAAATTCTGTGACTTGAAGATGAAATTTTTCCCACTGTGAGTGTTGGTCAGGAGAGTTCAGCAACTGTGGCTTTCTATGATCTCCTGTTTGACAGTTTGCTCTCTGAACTAGGGAGAACTCTGACTCTGACTTGCAGGTTCTGCAGTGCATAAGGCTATTGTATCATGTTTGACAGAGTTGGCGTCAAACCAGTGTTGATGTTTCCCCAAAGGCCATTCATTTCCCACTGTATGATGATCTTTAAGCCGACCTCCAGTAATGCAGAGGATAGAAAATAATGTGTAGTAATAGGTGCTCCAGATTGTGCAGTGCTGTGGAGGCAAACATTCCTTAGAGAACATTATCAGTGGAAAGAAAAGAAGATGCTTCTTTAAAATTTGAAATGCATGGTGTACCTTGGGATATAAAATATGTCTTGTTGCAGCCATATTTTTTCCTACCTTGCTAAATCTTCAAGGATGTTGTGCATGCAGCCATCGAGTTCAATATAATTCCCTTTGTGACATTCATAATTGGGCAAAGATGAGAGCACCTTAATATTCTCTTGTAAATATACCTAACATCTTAACATTGCTCAGTCCCTTCTAAAAAACTGTGGGGCATCCCTATGTTGTATAGAGCAAAAGTAATATATTTGGTGAGGAGTATCTTTGGTGGCTCACCTCTCCCAGCTCCATTCTGATTCAACACAAATTGCTTTAATCAAATCAAAAACTAATTTGGGTGTATCACATTTTTTTTCTGGAGGCCTATCTGATCCTAAAGAGGTAAAAAAAATGTTCTGTGCCACTTCACTCGTGTTGCTTCATGTAACAGAGTTGGTTACTGTGGTTTTTTTTAATTCAGGGGAAACACTGGTTCATTCTTGGAAAGAGAGTTGTAATAACAGAGGTGCCAAGAACCTGAGACAGTGCTGTACTTTGGCAGGGCAAACTGTTAGTCCCAAAATGGACATCAATCTGAGACGAGCAAATTGCACAAGGAGGTTGGTATTCCTGCTTGCTTGTTGCTTCCCCGTGCATATAGAGTTCAGAAAATGCTAGAAAGGACTGATGAGTTAAGGGCAAAGAAAAAATTATATTAGGAGTTATGTGTAGTTTGTGGGCTACATCATCAAAAACTCTTGAGTGGGCTTAATATGTGTTGAGACTGTAAATATGCATGTTCTGGAGGTGGAGGAAGGTTGTTTATCCTGGAGGGTGATGACAAAGCTAGTGCAGACTTCTGAGGCACTTTTATCTGTGGCTGCAGGGTTTCCATGCATTCATCTATGCCTTGAGAATGTTGAACATCCCTTTGGAATAATCAGTTGGCCTTAACAGTTTTATAATTAATGAAGCTGGAGGGGAGTTTTTTCTTTGAACTGAGCCTTTTAATAACACCAAAGAGTTTCCTTTTTGCTTGCAAGGCTGAGCCAGATGTTCGCCTTCTACTTTACATATTTTTTTTTAAAAAAACTGAGAATCAATGTGTATTATATTAGTAGGTTTAATTGGTAATCCTCAGTAAAAGAGTTCAGAGAAAGTTTAAGGATTATGCTTTGGCTGGTGCTCAGTATTATCTGCCTTCACATCAGATATAAAAGATTGCATCCAGCAGCTGAGCTTGCTTGTCCTTTAACTTCCTTAGAGGCAGCCCTGCACCAAATACCATTTTTTGTGCTCTGTAAGATCTAGTTTATAGCCCAGAGCAGGGCCTTTTAGTATCGGAGTCCTGTGAAATTGTTTTCCCTAGGAGGCTTAACTGAGCCCTGCAGCGTAAACCTTCAGAAAGCAATGCAGGGCTTTCTCTTTTCCGAGAAATTTCTAATGATCCATTAGTGATGTGAAAGTGTAGAATAAAACAATGATAAGAGTGTTCAAAGTCTTTGTAATCCTCCTAGCTATGTTGGGTAGGCTGGTGTTGTTTCCAAATATAGAAAAAGAGAAGGGTTTGTTAAAGTCACCTAATCAGACTATGGCAGATGCAAGATTTCGATCAACTGCTTCCTGATTTACAGCACAGAATCCCAGTTACTATATGCATTTTGGGGGTAGCCAACATGGTGCCTTCCAGACATCTGGGTTAAGAGACTTTTCTTCCTCCGTTTTTAGGATCTGTAGATGAAGCTGTAGGTTCAAGAGTAGGTTCAATACGGCAGTAGGTTCAAGAGTGACAAAAGGAAGCCTTCTCAAACTTACTTACCCAGGCCATATTATAATTTTGGGGTAGCAACAGACAGGGGTAGCAGCAATTGTCACTCATCAGTTGGCAGATGTTATCTGTATGGTTGGCACAATCGTGCTCCAACTCACCTCTAAAGGAACTTTAATTCTTTGGATCCTCTGAAATAATATAGCTAACACAATGGCTGCATGCAATGAGATTGTACAATATTACAAAAATGACACAGGAGCCTATTGGAAAGTTATGAGTCATGAGAGTGCCAAAATGTTCCTCATATGTTTTTAGCTTTCCCTTTTACTTTATGATTTTTTTTGCTAAATGAGTGCTCCCCTCCTTTAGAGACCCTACAAAACTCATCTTGCAATGTTCTTTTAATTATATATGTGGTCTGTCATGCTTGCACCACCTTGTGCTTCATCACTCTTCAGAGTGTCATTGTCTATTGCATCCACAGTCTTTCCCGGGCTTCTTCCAGTGGGTATTACAATTTAAAGTGTGGTGGGTCGGAAGTTGTTTGAACAGGAGCATAGCTATCTTCCCCTTTTCTTCCCCAAAGCTGAATAACGGATTGGGTAGTATTAGCACCTTCAAGCTGCTGTGGGGAAGATGCAATTGGGACACATGCCACTTGACCATCTATATTAGTCCTTAAACTGTTGTCTATTGGTGCGAACCAAGTCACAGCAGGAAGAATTACTCATTTGACACAGGGGCTTGCTTCAAGTATATATATTCCTCCAAAAATTGGTAAAACAAAACTTTTAAAGGCACATGGAAAAAACGAATTGCTGATATTTTTTGGTCTAGGCAAGGAATCCATATGGTTCAATGAATATATGAAACTTGTAATAAAAAATTAATGTCACAGCACTGAAAAACCTCCAGGGCTATCCAGTCAGCTCCCTGAATTTTGATTAGATACAAGGATTTTTTAAAAAGCAAATTGCAGTCTATTGATCATATAGAAGATTAGACAGATTATAATTTGTGTTAAAATAAATTCATTTTCTGACTTAAACCACAGATCTTTGCTGTTATACTAAACTATCCATGTTTGACCAAAAGCGTTCATGTGTTTATGTAGAAACTAACTTTTATCAATGATACCTTTCTGTTCGTGTTTCATTCTGTGCAGGTCATCAAGATTGTCTTTGGTTATCCCACTGTGTTTCACACTTGGTGAATTGCTATTTCCTAGAATCAGCAGCACAATCTTTTTTTATTGATAAGGTAGCAAATTAGTTAAGAATTAAATTACCCTTTTGTTCACATACATGTTCCTTACCATGTCATTTAAAAAGCACCACAGCGCAATGAGATAAAAACTAGTATTTAATTGCTTTTAAGATCTGGTGTAAAAACCTGTTTTCGCAGTATCATTTATATTTGTAAGACAATGAAGTGCACACAAGAAAGCTTCCATTTGGATTATAATCTTGCACCAATATGTGTTTTGATGAGATTCTGCAGCCACTCTCACATTGATGCTCAAAAGTGTGTGGTCCTTCTCTCTTCCTGGCCCACAATGAGTTAGAGAATGCCCCTTTGTTGTCCATAACATATTTGTTGAATGTAAGCCATTCAGAAATCAGCAGTTGCATCCTAAAATGGAGGTGGACTAGGTGGGGAAATGTGCAAAATGTACTGTGCCCGTAGCACAAGAATAATCTATAGTTGAAATTATGTATATGGGAAGTATGACGTTACACTGGTAAAGAAACTATACATTTCCTACAAATGCCACTCATTGTGTAATACCATTCAGGAAGTTTTGATCAAGTTGTATTGTTTTGTTGGTGCTTCAGAGAGGGGTGAGCACTATTCCCCAATGTTAAGGGAGCCTTAAGGAATTACTCGAGAGCGGTATGAACTGTGATATATCAGATCTCTCTGCACATGTGGACAGATGATAAGAGTAGGATTGGCCTCCTACTGTGGCTCTACTTCATATTTCAAGATGTGAGAGTAGAACTTGTGATTGGCATTTTCCAGCACCATCACATAGACCTCTGTGCAGCCTGATGTGCTGCAAGATCCCTCCCAGTAGCCATCCTTGCTTAAAGACAAGGGGCAGATTTTTTCACATTGAACAAATGCCTTGGCAATGCTATGAAGCTTGAGTTTAAACTTAACGTTGCGGTCAGCAGGGAGCAACCCGGCTAGCGGCTCTACTAGCTCATAACCCTCCACCCACTTGCTATAAGTCTGGGGGAACACTGGCCATTTCACCTTGGTGTTTGGGCAACAGATGAGGTAGTTGAAGACATAGTTATAATTTCCAGGATCAGACTTCTTTTTCGCAAAGATTTTAAAAGCAAAGTTCCCTGCATGAGGAAGGTGGACCTTAAAGTCTACCTGGTTTCCTTGGCAAGCTTGCAAGATGTGCCGTCTTGTTGTATCCTCGCTGAGGCTTACGTTGCCCGAATGCAGGGAAGCTAAAACACTCAAGTCCTTACTGAGGATGAAGCTGAGATCGTAGCGCCCGTCACTGGTATGAATGATTGGGCCTTTTTGCGAGGGCTTGAGGAATCCTTGCCTCTCTGAGAACCAGCTGGGCCCAACAGGTTGATGAAGTTCCTTTGGAAAGCAGACGTTCCTGTCTACAGAGCTACACTCTAATGTATATTCTATCACACAGTTGTAGACTTCATCTGAGCCCTTGGATGGTTTGGCGTAGATCTGTAGCTTATGGGTCCCCGTCTTCTGTGGGTAGAGCTCCAGGTTCATCCCATTCCTCTTCAGAGTCATCAAGCTATATTCCTTTGCCCCTTTCAGTTCAAACATGAACAGCATTGGCAAACGAGTCTCCACAGCTACTACTACTTTCCCATTTACTGTGACATGCAAATAAAGGAGGCTGGTTAGGATGTTTCTTACTATTTACTCAAAAATACAAATCAATCAAAAAAAAAAAAAAAAGCTGGAGAAAATGACCTGGAGAATGGAATTGCCTGCTGTACTGTCAATCATTTTGGCAGTGAAAGGGAGAATATTATGGTTGGCTGGTTAGAAGTTGACAAGCGTCTGTCAAGTCCAAATTCAGAATAAATAACAAGAGGGTTAAGGGTGGGAAGCCTTCATTTTCGGGTACTTGTTTGCTTCTGTTTTATTACAAATGCAGTAGAATTGCTCATCATTCTTGGAAAAGATGAAAGCACCGATGTCTTTCAGTTACAGCTCAAGCTGCCTGCATTTTTTGACTACAACCCCTTAGAAACTTGTCAGTTTCAGAGAAGTCTGAGAGAGTTCAAAAGACAGGATTTCAAAATGAAATTATTCGTTCCATGGTTAGGTTCTGAATGACACCATGGGGAGCGTCTGAAACTCAAGTGTACTAACTTGCACCCATATAAGGCTCTGAGCCTCAGCCCAGAATTTTCTGAAACTTTCCCCTTCACTTCAGGCTGGAATATAAATATTCTTGGGGCACATGCAATCTGATGGGTAATAAATAGCACTTCGTATTTTACACCGATTGGTACCCCAAGGGTAATGGTGATTAAGATGAAAAAAGGCTGCAGAACTTTGAACCCCATGCTTTAGTCCCACAGAGCTAATCTTTTAAAAGTAATCCAGCAGCCCAAATCCTAACCTTTGCTACTTTTATCTTTTTTTTTAGCCCCCTACCAAAGCCTGGAACTGTTCCTTATAATAAGACCGGCATGGGGCAATGACATGTATCACTGTACCTGTTTGAATAATTGGTGTTTCTGGGTGGGCTGCCAGCAATCCCATCATGTAAAAGTCACTCTTATATAACATGTTGCTCTCAAACTGTTTCAATGTCACAGCTGGTTTGAGGAGCTGCCAATTGCTGTTGTCTGGGAAATGATTATTAATAAATAGGGCGGGGTGGGTGAGGAAATAAAATTCGTTGTATCTGGAACAAGAGAGGAGAGGTCAATACATCACTGGCACCGGATTCTCTTAGCTTTCTGCCTTGTACTGAATATTAACTATGGCTGCAGTTCTAGATAGGTTTATCAATGGGAGTTTCCTTTCAACTGTACATAAATTAGGACTGGAATGATGGTAGGAAACACAGCTGAGCTCTAGGAGGCAAAATGAAGAGATGAGATGTGTAGATTTGGGGCTGGATGGATTTGGCTCAGAATACCATAGAACAGAGGGTGCAGTCAAATGAGGTTGCCTGTTATAGTGTAAGTTATCAGTGGCCCAGTTTGGTTATAATGCTCCTGGCTTTATAATGCATAGTTTATGCACTGATTTCCTCATATCAGTAATGGTCTGTTTAAGGTTGAGTTGCTAGTTATGTTAGTGAGGAACTAATGTTAGCATATTAACCAGGATTTTAAACCATAGTATGGTCCTGGATAGTTAAATGACATTAAATGATAAATGTGTTTTTAACTTTTTAAAATTTTGCAAATACAATAAAAAGAAACATTGTCAGCTCATCTTAACAATAAAAACAATCCTACGTGCACCTATGCAATCCATGTTTCCAAAAAGATTTCCAAATGAGATTTCATATATAACAGGGATGCTGTTTTAAAGATCAGAAAGGATGTGCTAAAGCCAAAAACTTGTTCCTGACTCAATAAACTATAATTTGTTAAGGTAGGGAGGTTACATAAACTTCCTAAATTGCATAATTCAGTCATTCTGCTTCAGCAAGACATAGACAGGATCATGCAAAGCACTGAAATCTCCATCCTCCCCAGCTTCTTGGATTTCCCTATACAGTGGTACCTCGAGTTACAAATGCATCAGGTTACAAACGCTTCAGGTTCCAAACTCCGCTAACCTGGAAGAGTTACCTTGAGTTGAGAACTTTGCCCCAGGATGAGAACAGAAATCGTATGCCAGTGGCGCAGCGGCAGCAAGAGGCCTCATTAGTGAAGGCATGCCTCTAGTTAAGAACAGTTTCAGGTTAAGAACGAACCTCTGGAACGAATTAAGTTTGTAACTATAGGTACCACTGTATGTTCTCTGCATGCACTTTCAAGCCTAGGTTTGCAGGTTTAAGGGATAAAAACTTAATTTAAATAAAGGAAGGCTGGATGGGAGTTCTAAGAATGCTGAATTCTGCTCCCCAAGCATGTGGGCAAATCAGGCATTTTGAAAGAGGGCAATAAGAAAAAAATCTCTCTCTAGCCATTAGAGAGTAAAATTTTCAAAAACGTGGAATTTAACAACTTCAGTTAAGAAATAACTCTTTACACCCAGTGTAGTCCCTCTATGTTTAAGGGACAATGCCAAATGGAAGCAGTATTCTCTCAGAATTAATTTTTAGCAGGAGCTACTGAAAATGCATTTTCAAAGTCAATGCTCATCTTCAATTGTGTTGTGCCAAAGAAGGTCTATAATAAGCTAATATGGGGATTTTCAGACTGGCTAGTAAACTCGGTTTGGCCTGTTGCTTGCCCCACGGTGTCTCTAGCCTTGGTGATCTGTGTTTCATTTCTAATTACTGTGCCCTTCTAATTATAACATGGACTGTCCCAATACTAGGTCTTCACATGGAGGAATATCAAATCCTTCACATGGGTCATTGTCCAGACTACCAGTAACACTGGTAACTATCTGGACCAAGTGGATTTCTACCATTTGTTTCCAAGCTTTAATTTCTTTTTCATGGTTCTCATACCTTTCAGGAGTGTTTTGGTTTCAATAGTTAGTGGAAATATTAACATTCAAAGAATGGGGACTTGTTTAGCTAGATTTCTATACCTTTTTAGTTTGTAACAACCCTGTTTAAGAGCTTGACATTTCTCATAGGTGGAAGCCTGAGGAGAACTTTTAGGGGCCAATTGGTGGGAGGGGAGAAAATATATCCACCCTTATTTATTTATTTTTAAAATGAAGCTTTGTCCCCTTCATGATTAGCCTTTGAGACACGTAGCTTGGAATAGTGAAGTAAATGGTCATTATGGTTAAATGATAAGCCCTACATCCTGATGATGCTTTTGTTTTTTCAAATCTGAAATTTGACACGGATTTCAATAAGTAGTTATAAATGAAGCAAGTAAATCAAATAGTATATGTTGCAGAGCCCTTGAATGTGACCAAGGAAAGCTACCTGTTTTGCTTATCCCCACCCCTGCGCCCCAGAGCTGTAAGGGAGGAGGAAAGGACAATCATACCTGAAGGTAAATTTGCTGAAGCAGTCATCAATGGAGCCACTCCCCCAGGTGCTGTCCACCAAATGCCACCTTCCATCAAGGTAAACTGCATTCCAGGCATGGTCATACTCTCCTGTGAAAGTCTCCCCAGCCCTGTAGCCATGGCCTTTAGAATAACCAGATAAATTCATGCATTGCACTCCTGCAATACTGGGGAGAGAGAAAAAGGATAGAAAGGACTTAAAGAACAGGGTCTTGCTTCTAAGAAGCTGTCTTTATCATTCATATAAATGTTGGAAGTGTTATGATCTCTCGTGCTCACTGCAGATTAGAGTGAATCACACCTGAAATAATACTCTTTTCATGCATTACTAATATTTATGGGTGTTAAGTCAAAGGCTGTCTTTTGTTCTTCCTGACATCTCTTGCTTCGAGCAAGTGTTACTATGGGAGGAGGCAGACTTTTAACTATTTGGCAGTGGATCCAAGTGCTGTGAAATTTTTATTTAAAAAATAATAATGCTTGAATAAGTAAAGACTCCTGAAAACAAGCAGCCTCAGTTTATTTAAGATAAAGAAGGAAGCCCAAGAGTAGCCCAATATGTGTTTAAAGATGCAGGCGAGAAGGAAAATAAGAGGTCTCACTGTTGTCTTCTATGCTGGAGCTCTGCTGCATCCGGGGAGGGCGGGGTACAAATAAAATTTATTATTATTATTTTGGATAAATGCTCCCAGTCTCCACAGATCAATCAGGATAATGCTGCATTCTTAAAGGCAAAATTAGCCTGTTAAGAACATAAAATGAGCCCTCCTTGATCAGGCTAAAGGCTCATCTAGCCTAGCATCCTGTTCTCACAGTGGCCAACCACATGCCAATGGGAAGCCCACAAACAGGACCTGAATTGCAATAGTGGTCTCCCCACTGTGATTTCCTGCAACTGGCATTCAGCAATGTAATGCTTCTGACAGCAGAGGTAGATTATAGCCTTCATGGTTAGTAGCTGCTGATAGGCCTGTCTGTGAATGTGTCCAACTCTCTTTTAACACCAGCCAAGTTGGCCATCATTCTCTTGTGGGAGCAAATTCCATAGTTTAACCGCATTGTGTGAAGAAGTCCTTTCTTTTGTCTGTCCTGAATCTTCCAGCATTCAGCTTCTTTGGATGGCCCCAAATTCTAGTATTATATGAGACAGAGAAAAACTTCTCTATCCATTTTCTTCACAACGTGCATAATTTTATATACCTCTGTCATGTCCCCACTCACCTTTTTCCCAACCTGAAAAGCGCCAAACATTGTAACCTTTCCCGATAGGCGAGTTGCTCCAGCCCCTTGGTCATTCTGGCATCTCTTTCCTCCTCTTCATCCCCAAACCAGGCATAGGAGGATGTAGTCTGGGCTGGCTCTGCTTGTAAAGGTTCAGCCTCATAAAATCCAGCTGGCTGCTCCACCAGCAAAGCTGCAGCCCTGACGAGTCCTGCCTTGACCAGTTCTGAGGAACTCACACAAGTCTCATAGTACAGTGTTTTAGTTTATACTTGTTACATCCAGGTTAGATGACTCTAGTGCTGTACATGGGGTTGTTCTTGAATACAGCCTTAAAGCTTCAACTGGTCCAGTGAAGTTTCTGATAGGAACTGTCCATTCTCCAGCATCACTGGTTACCAGCTTGCTTCCCAGCTCAGTTTAAGCACTGCTTTGACCCATCATGGTTGGACCCAGAATATCTCCAAAATCACATCCATCCATCTCAGCCAGCATGGGACTGTCATTTTATTGCAGAAGCCCTCTTTTGGGTTTCATAACTGCTGTATGAAATGGCACATCAGTATCCAGGAAAGGGCCTTTTCAACTGTGGCACGCAGGATTTGGACCATTCTCCTGAGCAAAGCACATAATAGCTCACTCACTGCCTGCAGGCAGTGACAATGATCTTATATGTGAACTTTTGTTGAAGTCTGCTTTTATCATGTGTCCCGCTGCTATTTTACATTGCTGTTTTTGTTTTTGCTGAAATGTGTTGTGGTTTTAGGTGGCGTTTCATCTTTCTCTTGCTTTGTATTATGTTGGTAGTTTTGTAAGTTGCATTGCATATTCTGGTTTTAAAAAGGCAGCAAACAAGCCAGTCACGTAATGATTCTGGACAATCCTATAGAGATGGCCTAACCAGGTTCCTTCCTTTTACTGTTAACAACTCATCAATTAGGAGTGAGTGGCTAGAGAGGGCTGTGAAGAGCTCCCTTGACGCTTAACAAAGCCAGTAGCTTGAACAGAGTGATGGTAGATGAAATTAAATTTGTGGCAACATTGGATTGAATGAAACAATTGGAATTGATTGCAGACCGTGATACAATCCTTGCAGACAGTTCAGCGAAAGCATCTGCTCAGTGCATGGAGATGATTAAAAGCAAATAAGATGTTAGCCTGTGTTTCAAAGGGGAATAGAAGATAGCCCGGAAAACAGTGCAAATTACAATGGTGTTACGTGAATGGCATGACCTTCCCTTCAGTACTACTGCAGTAGACGGAGTTGGTCACTTCAATGTGAAGAAAAGTGGTTGAGAGAAAGAGAACAAAAATTTGAAAGGCTTTGGGGAAAGTGCATGAAGGGAGAGAGAGTTGTTTCAGCGAGGCATGTGGAGAAATGAGATAATTGCCAGTGATAAAGGGTATGGCTGGAGCAAAGGCAAGTCTATATAATCAATGAAAGGAGAAAATGGTTACTTGGTTGACGGTCGGGTTCTTCCTCATCATGTCTATAGCTGGGCCAGCACTAGAGGCAACAATGATTCCTGATTTAAACTGCTGAAATAGAAGCATTTCTGCGTGTTGCTACTTCCCTCTGCCAGAATGGTGTTTTGTTCACCCAGTTAGTTCTGCTCTTAGTCAATTAACTTTGCTGTTTCAAGCTGTGGGGCTGCCAGCCCAGACAGCTGCCCAAGTCAGCAAGGCTTTGGAGTTTTGGACGGGCTCTTCCTTGATATGCCAAGCTGGCAATCCAGCATTGCTTTAAAAAGCATTCTTGGTTAATTATATTATTTACATCAACAATGGAGATGGATGGTGTCTTGTCAACCTCATTTGTTTCCAAAGCCATTTTTGTGGTAATGATTAGGACTGCAAGGTAGGCTTTCCCCAGCGTTTATTATCCTCCATAAAAGTCGTTCATCTCCCAAATGCAGCCAGAGCTGCGGCAGGCTTGCCAAGCAAAGCAGCTGTTGGAGGCGAGACCCTGCTGCCACCAGAATCTTCAACTCCTGATCAAACATGGAGGTTACACTGTATGTGAGACCTGAACACCGGAACGCCTAACAGGGTGCCAAAATCTCGGCATGAGAGGCGAATTCCATGGCCCGACATTGAATGCTCTTGCCCCTAAGCCTATTCAGTTAGAAATGTTATGCCCTCCATCCAGTGTCACTTAAATGTATAGCTTGAAGAAAATTGCCTACATACATAGCGAGACGGTAATGAAAGGTTGAGAGTGCACCTTGTTGCTACATGAAAAATATCACCCTGATCATTACAACAGCAATTGTGCACCATTATTATGTTGTGCTGGTCTTGCTGCAACAACTAGCTAGCTAATCTTGTAATATCACAGCCATTGCTTGGAAGTACCCTAAAGGTTTCTGCTCTAGAATAGAAATGAAAGACAAATGTGTCAGCTTTTGCCTGCTCAGCAGGCACAAACGTAGCAAAGCTGCTCCTTTTTCTTTCACCCCAAGCATTAGGTTTTTGGCTGGAGGTACACTTGACAAAGCAATGACAAACCTAGACAGCATCTTAAAAAGCAGAGACATCACCTTGCCAACAAAGGTCCGAATAGTTAAAGCTATGGTTTTCCCAGTAGTGATGTACGGAAGAGAGAGCTGGACCATAAAGAAGGCTGATCGCCGAAGAATTGATGCTTTTGAATTATGGTGCTGGAGGAGACTCTTGAGAGTCCCATGGACTGCAAGAAGATCAAACCTCTCCATTCTTAAGGAAATCAGTCCTGAGTGCTCACTGGAAGGACAGATCCTGAAGCTGAGGCTCCAATACTTTGGCCACCTCATGAGAAGAGAAGACTTCCTGGAAAAGACCCTGATGTTGGGAAAGATGGAGGGCACAAGGAGAAGGGGACGACAGAGGATGAGATGGGTGGACAGTGTTCTTGAAGCTACCAGCATGAGTTTGACCAAACTGCGGGAGGCAGTGGAAGACAGGAGTGCCTGGCGTGCTCTGGTCCATGGGGTCATGAAGAGTCGGACACGACTAAACGACTAAACAACAACAACACTTGACAGAGCAATGGTTTGGGGTAGAGAAGGGAATTTGGATTCAGTTTTCTCTTCAACAGTGTTTGCTATGGAAAAACAACAACAAAGGATGGCAGGATTCTCTGTTGATTTCAATGTCTTAAGAAAGGAAAACAAATGAGGTTGGATAATTTGCCTGAAGGCAGAACTTAGTGCTGCCTCAGTCTAACAGGAAGGGGCTACATGCTTTATTGAGGCACACTAGGCAATATTCAGGTTTGCGAATGGTGCAAAATACCCTATAGAGACTCCCTAACTTAATGGCTTTTTGTGGTATTTCTGCACCCGTTTTGCACCCCTCAATGGGCTATTTATGTTCCCATTTTAGGATTTCATTGTGTGATCTCAGCCATAATGAATGCAATGATGTCTGCAGCAAGTAGTCAATGTAACATCACTGAGGGCTAAGAAAAGTCTTCCACTGGCCCCAGCCCATTCAGTGGGGCAGAATGGAGAGACATGGGATGCATCTCCATTGCCAAAGCAGCCACAATGCTTGTCACGCTGCTCTGGCAGACTTTGTGTTCATCAAAACATGATGTGGCAAACCTAGCCTGACCCATGTGTAGTTGCCCATGATTAGCTGTTGCAGAATGGATAAAGATTGGAATCCACAGCAGATTGGAAGACATGCAGTGAAGATGCACAGTGTCTGCATTCAAGTGGGCATGTAAATGCTGTTTTCCATACGCATTCTTCTTACAATGGGATGAACATTTCGGTGAGTGCTTCAATATCCCACAATTGCTTAATTAGCTTCCAGCAGGGCTAGATCCTGACAAGGGAACATTTGGATGAGTTGATAATTATTATTGTTAAATGATATCTGGTAATACAACATTTCATCATGTTGGTGTTTACTTTTTATGGACACCAGGGGCTTGGCTTGGAAGAGCTCTCAAAGCTGCAATTAAAAATACACATAATTCCTTCCATAAGCACCTGTTTTTTCTCAATGGGTAGAGGATGTGTTGGAAGAAAACCTTGATTTATTCTCAATTCGATTAAGGTCTGGATGTAACAGAGTGGGTGGCATGGGAATCCAAGTCTTCAAGGAAGTTCTAACAACATCCTTTTTTTAAAAAAAAGCATTCTCACCAGCCTTAATTCATAAAACGAAGCTGGCAGGAAAGTTCTTGTGAAGGAATCAACTTGTATGTCTTGTAGCCATTATTTTGTGAGCAGCCAGTTGGAAATTAATCACAGTGCTTGCACAACCAAATCCTATCCCTCTAACTCAGGGTGGGGAACTTCAAGCTGAAGGCCAAATGTGGCCCTCCAAGTCTCTCTAACTGGCCCTTAGGAATCTTCTCAGGCCATGCCCCTCACCAGCTTTGCTGTCCCCTTGAGAGGGAGGAAATGTCCTGTTGCATGAGTGCCACACACACAACTTAGATGAATCCTGCCCAGAGTCTTATTTGTTGCTCTGCCCTCTCACTCACCACTGACTTGTGGCCCCTGGGAAGTCCCCCAGAAAGGAATGTGGCCCCTGGACTGAAAAGGTTTTTGCACCAGGGTGCTCCTGCACTAGATGTATGGGGCAGTTTGCAGAGGATGTGGCCAAGTTCAGTATGGGACACAACACTCACCATTTCTTGCATGTGAGGAACTGCATGGGGTAGTCTATATTCTTCAGTCCTAATGTTCTTTTAACCTTCAGATGCTCCAGGAAAAAACAGAGAGCCTCTTCTAACTAAATTATCCCCATGTACTCATCTGCCATTATGTTAATGCAATGCGAGCCTCAGCAGATGGTACAAAGTAAATTATGGAGGGGGGGCGGAAAGCAAAATTGACCTTTCTAGGACTTGCTGCTGTTCAACAATACAGCTTCAAAACGGTGCTTCAAATCCTAGTTGGTATAAAGAGAGATAGAACTGGTGCATAGGTAACAGAGCAAGGGAACATTTCTGATCTTCATGTACCTGCACATTTGTTCAAAGAGCCCAGCGTATCCCTCACAAATGCTCTTTCCGCTCTGGAGAACATCCTTGGGCTTGAAAGACTGCTGGTCTTTGTTAAAGAAGCCCACAATATCATATTCTGGGGAGCAAAGGTTGAAAGTTTAAACACAGGTGTAAAGTAAACAAATAGACAAAGTGAAAGAAGGGTCATTCAGACCTGTGTTAAGTAACCAGGAAGTATTCACATACAAACAGGTACAACAGATGTTTACTTAAGGTGGGATTCACCTCAGTGGAAGCCCTTGGTAATGTGCAATGGATACTTACACTCTGTTGTTAAAGAACAAGAACAAAACAACTTTCCCCATCCAAATTAGACTGCTGAAATGAAGAAACTTAACCAGGAGAAATGCATTACTGCGTAAAAGGACTGTGAATTCAGTTAACTTCTGCTGCTGAAAACAAACTCCTAGCACTAAGTTCAATGTGCTCAGAGTCACCCTGTTCTTTAATTGTAACGGGGATGTCTTTTGTGTCTGGCTCTGGTTGGTAGATACTGAGATTCTAACAGGGGTGGGAATCAAAGTAGGTCTGATAGCCTGAAGTCTGCTTTGCCCCAGGGACAGATGCACCACCAGATCTAAATTCCTGCTGGGCTCTCACCAGTAGGACAGAAAGTGAAGGCTTTTTGCTTTTTTCTAGCACACCAGTCCATGGGTTGATGTACTTTCCCTCCCTGTGTTGGTGGGGTGTTGGTTGGAGAATGGGAGGGTTTTGGATCTAGCAGCTTCAAATCCCACAGTGAGCCACCACTGGTGCACCCCTTTCCAGTGCTTTCTCTCACTGGACCTCAGCTGGAAAGCCCCAGTGACAATTCTTCCTGCACTGCCTGGGAGGGGGTTTTCAAGGAAGGACCTTCCTCTCTGCTCAGAGACCATAGAATTGCATCCTAAGGGAGAAGAACTGTTCAACCCTTTCTCCTTTGGCCAGTTCCCACTCCAAATTGTTACTTTTTCCTCCTTGCAGGAGAAAAGCTGTAGGCACCAATACAAACCCAATCTAGTATGACTCAACTGTCTACTAAGAGCCTTCTGTGGTGTCACAACACAATTTTCACAGCTGCGCCAAACTTGAATTGGGAAAGAATGGCTCAAGGGAAGACAATATTTTACATATGTGTTTTCTGGGAAGGGACAGTTCTCTGAAAGGTATATGAGTGAGAAGATTATTGACACAGAGCATTTCAACATTTCAACAGAAACATTTCAAAGTTTCTTAAAATTCGGATTTTCCAGGCCTGATGCATTTTCTTGACATTCTCCCTCCCTCTATTACCAACACAATGTATAAACTGGGTTCTAGAACCACAGTGAAAGGCAAACAACTGTTCAGCATTATCCACAGGTTCCAGGAAATGACGGAATCCTCTGCTTACCTATATGATGGCATATCCATGTCCAAATGGCCCTAACCTTTTCCAGGTCGGTACGTGCTACGCGAAGCAAGGTTTTCACTAGCTCCTCCACAGTACTCTTGGCGGTCACCTGTATTATACAAAGAAAGTGGATAACTGGTGATTTCAAACCAACTGTGAAGGTTGGTTACCTTTTCTGCCTTCCTACAAAATTTAGAGGATCTCTCTTAGGGTCCACTACTTGGCAGAACCATTGACTTCATCAACAAAATCTCTGCTATGTTTCACAGAAAGCACATTAGCTTACAGGTGTGGGGAACCTGTGACCCTTTGGAGGTTGCAGAATAAGAAGAAGAAGAAGAAGAAGAAGAAGAAGAAGAAGAGGAGGAGGAGTTTGGATTTGATATCCCGCTTTATCACTACCCGAAGGAGTTTCAAAGCGGCTACCATTCTTCTTTCCCTTTCTCCCCCACAACAAACACTCTGTGAAGTGAGTGGGGCTGAGAGACATCAAAGAAGTGTGACTAGCCCAAGGTTACCCAGCAGCTGCATGTGGAGGAGCGGAGATGTGAACCTGGTTCCCCAGATTACCAGTCTACCGCTCTTAACCACTACACCACACTGGCTCTCAGCAGAACTACAGCTCTGGTCATATGGCATATTCAACAAACAGAGTTGTAGTTCAGCAATGTCTGGGTGGCCAAAGGTTCTCTACACCTGGGTTACAGTTTGGCTCAGGATGGTTTTAGGAGCCATTTTCTGTTTGTTTGTTTGTTTGTTTAGAAGCCCTATCTATTAGTCAGCAGGCTGGCATAAGGCACTCAGAACAGGGTTTTCCTCAGCTTCATCATGCTGTTCTTGGCAGCTTGCTGTGTTTTAAGAAGCAAGTCTTTTACAAGCTTCAAATATATTATTGGGTAGAGTTACTCTCTCCTATCCCGCGTATGCCCTTCAGATACGTTTAGACACTATTCTATAACTAGATTCTATTTAAACTGTTTCCTTTCACATGGTATGATGGTTGTCAGCCAGACCTGCTCAACCCTCAGGCCAATATGAGATTCTGTTACTGTACAATTTCCTTTGCCAGCCAATGAAAGTGTGTTGTATCTGTTCTAAAAGATCTGGAAGCCACATACTCAGCCGACACCTCATCCTGGGCTGATGCTGTCTTTGTGAGAAATATTTAGCAAGTTGTTTATGGAGTTGCCAGTGAAATTTTTGTCCAAAGTGAAATTGGAAGCAAATTTTGGAGTTCCTCCTGAAGTGAAACATCTGAGGGAAGCCAAACAACATTTTGATAAGGCTTGTGGAGTTTCTCAGCAGCTTTTAAGGTTGTCCTCAGATTTTGCCTAAAGCAAAGCATCTGGAAGTGCTTCCTCAGGGAAATATCATCTGAGGAATTACTAGGGAAAGGGATCATTACTCAGTAGTAGAGCACTTGCTTTGCAGGTCCAATGCCTCACATCTCCTGTTCAAAGGACCAGCCTTCTTCAGACTAGGGTCCTCCAGATGTTGTTGGACTGCAATTCCCATCACCCCTCATCATTGGCCACACTCTCTTGGGGCTGATGGTGTCCACAGCTTCTGGAAAGCACTAGTCTGGGGAAGGGTGAGGCAGCAAGTAATTTGAAATGTCTCTTTCAAATGGAGAACTACTTCCAATCAGAGCTGGCGGTACTTGGTCTAAGGCAGCTTGGGATAAGGAGGGAAGAGTTCCATTCAGATGATTGCGGAAGGGTATTCTTAATGCAGAATCTAAAAGACACCTCAGGAACACACAAATGAAATTGAAAGGACTGTTTGTGTTTTGCCCACTATTCAAGTGGAAGAGGTTGTCTGAAGGAGTTGATATGAGCAATAGACTCTGCAATCATCAGACTTCAGCAAATTGTATTATAACTTCTCAAAAATGTGATGATGATTGTAGAGTATTCTGCATAGATAACTCAGTCCATAACCCAGTTCCAAGGATCATGAATTTATGTTAAAAGCCAGTTCCTGTAATCTTACCCCCCAAAGTGGTTATTATTGTTATTTAAAACATTTAAATTAACACTCTGCTGACTGGTTTTTAATTCACCACACAATTGGCTTCGCAGCATATTTACCAGCAGCCATGTAGCTTTTTGCACACAGTGTTGTAAAAAATAATTATTGAACTGATATATCTGATCATTCAGACAACCAAATTCCACAAGGATTCCATTGTGTAATTACTAGAATATATGCAGTATATATCTGGTGCTGGAGTTTTAGAAATGACGAGAAGCAGAGTTTGAATTCATGATGTCATGACCTTCATTTATGTTTTTACCTTTGTTGCATATGCATCCAATTTCTCGAAGTCCTTTAGGTTAAAAGGTATGGATTTCAAGCATGACTTGTCCCATGGGTAAGCTAGGAGAAAAAACACATGTCATCGGTAATAATTATTCTGGAAAGGAAGAAACATTTCAGCTGGACAAACTCTCTAGCAAGCATAAACCAGATCTATACTAAAGTCGTTTTCACATGCAAGGTTTACAATAGTTTAAGTTTCCCTCCATTTATTATGTAAAAATAAATAAAAGTCCACTAGCAACTGAAAAGGCTAATAAATATATAGTGGCATAAGCTTTCTTTGCCCAGAGCCTGTTTCATCAGATGCATGGAGCACTGAGCAGGTAAGTTTATACATGAACTAGGAATGAGGAAACTCCTGCCTATGTGCCAATTGTGCTCTAGCAGGGGGTCCAATTGGGCCTGTGAGGCCATGTCTCCCAAACCACATCCACTTGTCAATCAACTGATACCATGCAGGAGGGCTGGGTTCGATCACATAATCCCAGGAGTCCTTGTGCCAACCATTGAGACCTCTGGAGAGCTGGAGGTTTGGAGGGTTTTGCAGGTTTTTTCAATGGTGTTCCCAATATATACAGTTTCATGTAAACACAGTGCCTCAGAACACAGCCCCCGTGTAAATGGGGAGTTGCCTGTAGTGCATTGGCTTTGCACACCTCTTCCCAATTTATAAACATTATGGCACAAAGGGGAGGCAAAAGGTTTCCTGACTAAGCAGGGACCAAAAGGATAAGCAGTGGAGATTTGCATCAGCTGCAACACATGCAGAACACAGATTATTAATGGAAGATGGAATCAGATCTGATCAGCTTTGTAAAAACATTTTCCCTATGCAACCATGTGCATCCCTACCTACACAGGCTATTGCTTCATGTAAATAGCCTATGCCCGAAATCCTATGCACTATGTCCTGGGACTAAATCAATTTGAATAGGTATTCTATCTGAGTAGACATGCATAGGATTGTGTTCATGATGGCTACTAGCTTAGGTCAGTTTAAAAGGGGATTACACAAATTGATACAGGATAGGTCTGCCAATGGCTGTTGGCCATCATGGCTCTATGGAACTTCTAGGCAGGGGCAGCTGCTCTATTAGGCAAAATTGGGCACTGCTGCACAAACCCCAGTCTGCCCTCAGCCTGCTCCACCTAACTGCCTTATTTACAGCCAGTCCAGGGGGTGGAACTGCCTGTCAGTTTCCTCCTCCTTCGTCTAGGTGTTGCTCTCCTGGGACTCAGCAAGGTGGAGGATGGAGACAAAACTAGAAATAGCTGCCTCTGCCTCTCGTTGGTTCTGGCTCCACCTGTAATGGGCTCTGGTTCTTGTCCTCCCTGCTTTCTGGCCCATCAGCCACCACTGCCTCTTGGTAAATATGCAGAATGCCACTTAATGACAGGCCACAGTAGGACAGGCTGATTGCCTCAATTCCCTGCTTCTGAGCTTCCCAGAGGCATCTGGTGGGGCCCAAATGTTCTGACAGATCTGCAGAGGATCAGATTTGTATAGAGCCATTATGTTGACTGTTCATAGATGCACAGCCAACACAAGCCATCTATGCTGTGTTGTGTGAATCAGCTATACATCAGCTGATGCACTTGGGTGCTAAATAGTCTCTACTGCAAATTGGCAGCTTCACGGGCCCAGGAACAATGTCCAGGAGTAGTCTAACTGCATCACACCTCTCCTGATTTTAAAGCCAAGTAGCACACGACTCTCTTGCTCTCTCTCCATCCCTAACACACCTTTTCTGCTGTGTCTGACCTTTGGGGAATGGGCAGGCACAGCTGAAGAAAACCTCAGTGTCAGAAGCCTGTGTGTCTCACTATTCCTCAGGCTTGGTTCAACCTCATTTCCAGACTGTGATTAGTGATGGAGCAACCACAGGCAAGAGGGTGTGTGCTGTCACCTAATGTACCGAACAGCCATCTGTCTGTCTCAAACCAGCACTCAAGCACAAGGCATCTGTCTCTTTAACAGGCTTGTTTGTTTATCTGGCCTTTCGCTGAAGAGGGCTATTACACTGACCTAAAGAGAGCTAAAGCAGATTTACGCACTTAAAAGGTTCCTGCTCTATACAGCTCAGAAAATTACTTTTTTGCCATTTGGGAGCGGGTAGTTTCTTCAAATTGGTGATCAGTTTTAGTCTTTGTCAGGCTATAACTGAAAAGGCTCCCTACAGCTGCAGAATTCACAATAACTCTTGCAGTCACACACTGTTACCATTAGCAGCCAGAATTGTGTACTAGGCCTCCGATATGCTGTGCAAACTGGAGCAAGGCAATATTTAAGCACAAATAACATTGGCAGGCACTGACTATACCAATTTCGAATGTTTAATTGGAGGCCTATCTTAAAAGCAGCATGCTCAGCTAAAATACTTGCCCATCAAACTTCCAAAAACGGCTGTGCATGGTCAGGTTATGGTGATGAACACACCTTGCCATCAACAAAATGAGGTTGCATCTCCATAAGGACTGGCTCCAGGCTGGAGGGGTTTCTGGCCAAAGTACCATCTTGTGGGCCCCTCTTACAGTGGTGGGCTCCCTAAGCTGTACTTGGCAGTGGTGGCGGTGATGACAGAAACAACACTCCAGAGGGGCCAGGCGCAGCCATTTTATTTCACCATAATGCTCTAGAGCACTTCATGTAGCTGTTACGTGGGTTTTGGGGGCGGGGAGTAGGCTTAATGCCTGAACCCCTTCTAATTCTTGGAATAGCCAGGCTAGCTTCTTGGTGAGGTGTCAGCTTGGGTGATGGGCCATGAAACAGAACAAAGGAAAGGGCTTTGTGTGAGACAGCAAATGGGTGGGTAGTTAGAAGGCCAAAGGCAGAGTTGAAAGCCGAGTGTTGGGTGATGTGAGCTAAACACTAGAGTAAGGTTACCAGACGTCCCCCTTTCCCGGGGGCAGTCCCTGGATTTACAAATCAGTCCCCATACAAAATCAGTTGAAGTTGAAAAGTGTCCCCGGATTCATTGAAAAAAAATCTAGCAACCTTACACTAGAGGCAAAGCAGAGAAAGATGTTTGGTTTCTGGAGGAATCAAAGGCTGTGGCTAAAGGTGAAGCAAGGCCCTCTTGGGGTGTTAATGCTGTGAAGCCTCCCTATCATAGGCTCAGGTTGCTTATATATGTGTATATAAACCACGTATCATAAAGACACCACAGTCTCTGCTGTGCCTCATTCCAAAGCACCTGGACTCAGACCACTTGGGGACTGGGGTGGCGTGCAACGGAGTGTTCACTTCAGGGTGCTGTGGGACATTACAATGGAGGCTCACAGGCCCAGATGCTCAAGGTGGAGGGTCCAACAAAGCCGTAGGTGCTGGTGGACCCCGCTGGAACACTGGGGCAGTGGCCTAGGATGCCAGATGCTGATCTCCACCATGGCTGCTGTGCTTTATATGTTCACTCCCTAATAATCAGCTGTATTTGTAACTAAGAAATGCGGAGGTGTAATCTGAGAGCAGGATTTCCTTCTCAGCCAAATTGCCAATGCATTGATGGCATTTTCAAAAGCTTAGTAAGTTTAGCCTCCTGGAACTCATCGGCACCAGCATCCTTGCTTTGAGTCATCAGAGAGGACTCACCCCTTGATCCATGCTGCATACAGAAATCTTTTAAAGCACATTACTTCCCCCAAAGAATCCTGTGGTTTGTTAAGGTTTATGGGAGCTGTAGCTCTGGGAAAGATAAACTACAGTTCCCAGGGTCCTTTGGGGAAAGCCATGTGATTTAAATGTGGGCGGCAACAATGCTGCTTCTGCTGCTCCTCATGAGGATTGCCATCTAAACAGATGGAAAGTGCTGTCAGGTCAGTTCCCAAACCGCTTCAAAGATAACAGAGCTGGCAGCACAGAAAAACTGTCCAATGGCGAACATGTGGCAAGGAGCACCACATGGGCAGCCTTGGGTGCTGAATGCAAACTTGGTTCTGAACTCCATTTGTTTTGTGTGTGCATTTTTTTTTCTTAAAAGGATGCTTCCCATTTTGTATATTGTTGTTTCCTCTGTGAAATCTGTACTGTAGGAGTAGGAGCGATGGTATAATACAACTCTATAGTTACCATGCTGGTCTTTCAAACCCGGTGGACGGGGTCTGCGTTTTCTGTTCTCTGGAAAACCTATGAAATTGTGAAAAGCATGTGAGATAGGTGAACGGATGTAAAATGAATTGAAGTAGAAAGACGAAAGAGAAGTGAGAAAGGAGAGTAGGCCTACAGAACAAGCACTTAATTAATTGACACAGATTTGTTCAAGAGGTCATCACACTAAAACCCCCCATGGCATTTTGCTAGTCTCAGTGTGGTGTGGCAGCCATGAACATATGAGCATGTGAAAAGCATGCTGAAAGTGTTTCTTTGGCCATGGGTTGAGGACACATGTTGCACTCTCAACTATTTGTGTTCCCATCATCTCTGGGATATCAGCTCACTAATATGCCCTAACCTTCATTTTAAAGGGCTTGAGTAGAGTCTCATATGTGGAAGATTTTACTTATTTACTTCTCACTCTCTTTCCCCCTCTCTCTTACTAAATATAGTATGAGGAAAGGTTGGGAAATTGGCCCTACAAAGATGGAACAATTCTCCAATAATCAAAGTGCAAAAGTGACTGTAGCTTTTTGTATGAGAAAATAAACAAGTGTATCCTTTTCTGCCATTAGCGGAGTTGGGTTGGTGGAATCCAGATTGGAAGGGTATGGAATAGGTAGGTCAATTTTGGAAGGGTGATCATTTTGATCATGGCTATTTTATCTGACAGAGTGAAGATAATATGGTTCCATCTCCTCAGGTCATTGTTAATTTGTCGCCACAGGGCTTTGTAGTTGTGGAGGTATAGTTTGTTGAGGTTTCTGGTTATTTGTACCTCTAAGTATCTGAATTTGGTACGGCAGATTTTTATCTTTGTGATGTTGGAAAATTCTTTTTGTATATGAGGTGGGGTGTTGAAACACATAGCCTCGGACTTGGCAAAGTTTACTTGTAAGCCCAACACCACTGCGAATGTGTTGAGTTCCTTGGTTAGTGTGATTGCTGTATTTGTGGGGTCTGGTGTTGTGACCATCAGACCATCTGCGAAGGTAGGCCACTATTAATATCCCACATATCACAGTGGAGGAATTGTGGATAAGAGAAAATGTCTTTTCTAAGGCTACCTAGAGAGTCTGCAGAAGATTTGAGGATTCCCTCTTTCATAGCTCAGTTTCTTTACTACAGCGCAACATGAGCTCCTGCATATAATTTAATATGAGATATTTTGCCTTTATCAAGGAACCAGTCAATTTATTTTTATTGTTGCGAGAACAAGGGAACAAAAAAAATTAAATGTGTAAGAATTGTTCCAAAACAAAATATTGATTTTTAAAAGCGGCATACCTTTCCCAAAGGAGAGTTTTTTGAACAACTGTGGGGTAGAATTTCTAGCATGTACTTCTACTGTCACATGGGTTCCTGAAACAAGCAAGAATTTTTGAAGCTGGTCAGTACCGGGAAACGTAATTCAGCATGTAAGCATCATGCCTTGCATCCAAGGCAGTGAGAGCCCAAGGATGAAAGTGTTAGGATAATCCTGCATTCCTCCTTCCTACTGAAACCCCAAAATGCTAAGAGCTGGAGTGATAGTGGGAATGAAAGTAGTTTTGGGTAATTCTCTCCTCCCGCTACCACTCCCTGTGCCACATTCCAGGCCTTCAAGGGGCAAAGGGGTTGCAGTGGGGAGAAGGACAGCCGGAAAGCCCTCTTAAACAAGCAGGTGTCCGTTTGTGCAACACTGGTTACATTCCCATACAAAACAAAATGGCAGAAAAGGCCATTTTTTCCAAGTCACAACCAGGACAATCCAAGTCACAATCCAGAACAATCAGGAACTGAAAGGAATTGTTCCTTTGCAAGTGGGAGGATTGGTACACTAGAGAGTTTGCTGTCAGGAGCTGTCTGGTGCAGACAAGGCAGCTGGAGGAAGCTGTGTGGATTCAAAGTCCTTCCTCCAGTGCTTTGAATCCACACAGCTTCCTCTGCAGAGGGGGCAACACTCTGTTTAGAAAGTTTATGAGCTGGCTACCCACATAAATATGCTTCCTTTATGCTTGCTTTCAGTATAAGCTATTCAAAAGTTCAGATGTATAACTACCTCAAGCCAATTCTCATTTCTCAGCCTCTTTTAGAAGGGAACCATGAGGGACTTTCTTCAATCAAGACATATTTTGACAGTTGTATACCCCTTTGTGTTTGATATTTCCTCATCAAACAGAGAAATTTGACTGTGAGCCTCTGGGCACTTAACAGATGTTCTGTAGTTTCTTTGCAGACAATGAAGTCAAGTAATTGCCCTGTCAGTCCTTCATTCTTACTTCTTCCAGTTCTCTTTTAGTTTAGTAGAATCTTTTCTACTCTTTCTCCACAAGGTATGGCTTACAATTGGGCTTGCAATATTTTTTTTTTTTTGAGGAGCAGATTTGCAGCAAAAAGTCGTGGGATGGGGGTAGCCTCTAAGAAGATCATAGGAAGCTGCCTAATGACAAGTCAAATCACTGGTCTATCTAGTGCAAGGGAATTTTGAGAAAAAGCAGTGGACACTCACAAAATGGCTGCCATGGAAAGCAGCCCATTCATAAAATGGCTGCTTTGGTGGGCATAGCTATAGGAGTTTTCTGAGGGACCTACTGGGGATTGCAGGAATTGAACCTGTGAACATTGCATGCAAAGAATGTGATATATCACTTCATGATGGCCATTCTCTTTTGGAGGATTAGAAAACTATCTGTATAATGTTCTTCTTCCAAGGGTAGGGTTGTCACAAAGCAAAAACCAGGACACCCTGAAAGTTGAGTTGTTGTTTTTTGTTTTGTTTTACAAAAACACCAAAAAACATGATTTTTTTACTTGCCTAAGATCCAGGACAAAACACTGCCCTTCTGACATCAATTCCGCTTTTGAAATCCTGGTAATGGCCAGGAAAATCCAGACATATGGCAGCCCTATCCTAGGGGCATCTGACAGACTACTTATGAAGACAGAATGCTAGATTATTGAAATATGTCTGTTTTTTCTTCATTTTATAATGCAAACTTTTTAAAAAATGAATAGAAGTTCTATAATTTTGGATCTTTAAGTATTTATTGTTATAATGAGAAATCATCAGGAAAAAAGTAGTTTAAAATGCTTTTGAGATTGCATTACATACTCCTTTAGCAACTATATTTTGCCTCCCTCAGGCATATTTAGATTGATCAGGCATGCAGGATTTTTTTTTTTAAGTAGGCCTTCCCTCATCTTAATCCTGCTTTCAGAGATTAATTTTACTGGGGTTTTTTCCTTCTTTCAACCTCTGTAATTTTGTAACATCTGGTCATGGTGATTTTCCAAAATAGTATGCCATTTTTTGCTCCGTTCAAACATCTCCAAATGCTCTACTATTTTATGATATTCTAAGGTAAAAGCTTATTCCCAGTAACTTGTAGCAAAGGGCACTATCAGACAGTTCATTGGTTTATCACATACCTTGGGCAGAGCAGGAAGTAATGACTTGCTGCATCTGAGCTGCATGGCCTGGTGATGGAAGGAAAGCTTTAGTGACAAGAAAACAACCTATGCAACAGGGGCAAAGTGATAAGTCCATGCAAAAGCAGGGAAAATGCAAGTTGGACTAGTGGCAAAAGATTGAAGAGTATCATTATTAGCAGGGTGTTCCTGTTTAAAGTCCCAGCCAGCCAACCATACCCTCCTCCAGGATAGGTCATTCCATTTCCCCTCCCAAACACCAGTTGCCTGTTCTTCTCCAACTGAAATTGAACATCACCTCCTTATGTCCAACCCATGGTCTGAATAGAGCCAACACATGAACATGGTACAAGTAAGATAACTGTGAAAAGTAGCTTTTGCCATCTGTCATGGATGCTTTAGCTGAGATTCCTGCATTGCAAGGGGTTGGACTAGATGACCCTTGATGTACCGCCCAACTCTATAATCCTATGATTTGTGTAGTTGTATATATGTAGACTCTGCTCCGACTTTTGATGAATGCAACTTGGCAGCAAGGATAATGGATTCAATCCCCACTCTGTGCATTCACAGAACACACACACACTCATATTTTAACAGGTCCATGGTTTTATATAATTTTGATCTAAAATACTAGCCCCCTCCCCCCCCCCCCAAGCATGGAAGATAGACAAGTCTACATCAATGGACACACTGAGTTGCATCCCTTTTCTTTCAAAGATCAGTATATTGGCAGTCCCCAGAGAGAAGCTGGAGCATTTCAGCAATGTGTTTGCCATTCTGGGTACCACGTATCTTATGGCTGGCATGGCTCAGACCCATGAAAGATGATGAGATATCACTGCAATGTGTGTGATGACGGCCCATGTGTTTGTTTTAATATGGCTCAATCTGCAGTTGCATCATAGCATTCAGAAATACTGTAGGAGCACCGGCTGCTTCACGGTGTCAGACTTCATAAGTACAGTAATCTCGCTACACTGCCTGAAATTGATTTGTTGACACCTCCATGCTTGGTGCATGAAGATTTCTGGCAATACAACTGGAGATCTTCAGTGAATACCTATGAGTTGGTGGAAGCCGCTGTAAAGTATTGTTAGATCCGGTTGTAAAGCTAAAGAGCCTATTTCCCTCTGATCTGAAAATTTCATGCCCAGATTCTTGGTAGTTCCTTTGCTAGGACTCCTGCTCTGGGGCAGCTTTTATAGAATGAGGAGCAGAATGACTCTGCCTCTTGTACTGTGGTTTGAGATGAGCAAAATGGAATTATCTCACAATGTTTCCCAAACTTGGTCTCCAGCTGCTTTTCAACTTCATTTCCCATCATCCCTGACTACTGGTCTTGCTAGCTAGGGAGGATGGGAGTTGTAGTCCAAAAACAGCTGGAGAACAAAGTTTGGAAAATACTGAAGAGTTATGCACAAGGCCTAATATTTGTGTTTCTTAATTCAGGTTGCTAATATCTGTACTTGGCCGTTTCTGTAATTCGGGAGTTGGGAAGCTCTTTTCCCCAGACTGCCTTCAGCACAGAAATTGCTAGCTCTCCAAATGCCACCATGTGGCTATGGGCATCAGGACCGGCTCTACTATTAGGTTGAGTGAGATTTTGCAATGCCATTAAATGGCAGCAGATTGCCAGTTGTTTACAATATCTGAGCAGCCTCTGTGAGTGGTGACAGCATTTGGACCTTATATTTCAGGCAGCAAAATATACGGAGCTAATGATTAAACCTCCAAGAGACCCACCCCAGCCTCTCTCAACATGGTATGACTGCCTTTAATGGGTATTAGAATACACTGATCTGGACTGCATTTCTCACATGGAAACTCAAAGGGTTTAGAGAAAATGACATACCATGAAGCTCATTTCCTAGTTTGTTGTTTCCATTGCCATCCCCTCGAAAGCCTAAAAAACAACAACCAGTAAACTGTGTTATTTATTTATTTAACAAAAAATATGTACTGTTGGATTGTAACAAAACCTTTAAGTGGATTACAAGAAATATTAAAATTATCAATAAAGAAGTTAAGAACAATGAATTAAAAACTTTAAAAAAACAATTAAAATAAGTAGTGAACTAAAAATTGATTAAAACATGTCAACATTTTCATGCCTGGAAAACAAAAAATGTTTTAAAGCAGGCACTGAAATGAATACTGCAATGGCACCTACTGATTTCAATAGGCAGGGAGTTTCAATCAATGGAGTTAAGTTACCCAAGTCAATGGGTCTACTTTGAGCGTGATTAACCACCAGATATTGCTCATAGCATTTTGGATTCGTCCAACTAGCAAATGAATTCGCCATCCCCTAGATGAGTATTTAATCATGGACAGCTACAACAACAGAGCACTAGTAGCCTTTGTGTATATGATCTACTACTAAGGACTGCTCTTAAGGCATACCTGCAAAAGCTCACTTGTTCTCCCAAAGGTATGAATAGTTGGATGAAGTCAAAGACAAATTCTCAGCTGGGTGGTGGTTGTTTTTAAAAAGGCTGAGCTAAGGAAATTAGAATTGTTTCCCTTCATAAATTAAACAAATGTGCATATGTATGCTTATTTTTCATCTTTTACAGTGCAATCTTCTAGATGTCTCCTCTGAAGTTAAGTCCCACTGGCTTCCATGGGATTTGTTCCCAGGTAGCTGGGTACAGAGTTACAGTCTTATTGTCCTCCTGCAAATCCTGAGAAGCTGGAGGCACTGAAGTCCTGCTCAGCTCTCCCTTTGATCTCTGAGGTTTCACTAAGAATTGAAAGCCTTGCTCTGGCACCATAAAGGTGTGATCACAGGATCATGACACAGCCTGTCTTGCAGAACTAGTGACAAAAGAGAAGTCAATGCTTTGGAGCGCTTGGAGATTTTGCCTAGAACTGTGTGGGGTTTTTTGGTGTGTGCACGCATGCAAAATTAGGCTGGATGCCCGAGTCCCTTCTAATTCCTGGATCCAGCAAGGGTTAAAATCTCATGGAGGATTCAGTTGTTGGAATAGCCAGGCTAGCTTCTTGGTAATGGCCCTAGGTCTTTAGTATAAGGAAGGAACCTGCTCTGCGCATGAGGGCAAATTGGCTGGTAGTGGCTGATAGTGAGAAGGTCAAAGGCCAGAGTGGGAAGAGTGGACTGGGCTACAAGCAAGTAGATGCCTGAGAGTGATAGTCATGTCAAGGGTTGTGGCTATGGGAGAAGCAAGTCCTTCTGGGGTGTTAATGCTATGAGCCCTTTCATCATAGCCTCAGTCTGTGTATATGTGTAAATAAACCATATGGCAAACAGACACCACAAAATTCCCTGCCCCTCATTCCAAGGAAACCAAACTGTGGGTAAATGATTTGAAGCCCTGGAATCTTACACTGCTCAGAGATTGGGATGTTGTGCAACAATATATTCCTTTTCAAACTCTTTCTATGCTAGGGTGTGTGTATGCAGCTGTTAGTTTAAATTAAATGTACAGCATTTTCCCAAAGGAAGGAATGAACAAATGGGCTGGCTAGAACAAAAACACTCCCACCCCTCTCCAAACCTCCCCAGGGTAACTTCTGAAATGTGTTGGCTCATTCTCAAGGCCAAAATCTCCTTCTGTGTTTGTTTCGTGACCATATCCCTGCTACTCTTCCTTGTTTGGAAACAAACATACAACCCTGAGTGCTTTGACTGATCCACCTCACTGCAGCTGACCAGGGCACCACGGCGGAGTGATGAGTGAACAGCCTGCCTAAGGGAATTTGGAATGGCTTGATATTGCAGACAGACAGTTTTTGTTATAAATAATGGCCGCAACACATCAGGTTTATGAAACACGTAAACACCTAATGCATCAGCACAAATTAGGATGTTACATTTATATTTCTGCTCTGAACTTTGTCCTTGGATATCTCAATCTCTTCTGGCCACTGAAAATAGTGACATTATTCTGACATTGCACTCTGCAGGAACAACACAAAATGAATGCAACATTAACTGTACCTAAGAATAAAAACGATGACTTGCCTACCTATTGGAGTGGAGTGTATGTGTGTTGTTTTAGTATTTCTTTTTATATTCAATTTCTATTTTGTGACTTTATACAATATGTATATTATTGAAAGACCAATAAAAAATAAACAAATAATGGCAACAATCTAGCACAGAATTTTAATTTGCTTTAACATGTCATTGGTTTTTTTTAACACAACTCCTACATCTGCTCCACTCACAAAGAAAGCAGGAGTTAAGAAATACAATTTAATGAGCAAGAGAGGTGGCTGGGTAGGGTGGGAGAAGCTGAATCTTCCTTGCATCCTCTGCTTACCCTACTTGAGCTTCTCTCCTCAAGCCCTCTACTCATTCCAGCTAGACATGGAGCTCCCAAAATAATCTTGCTCTTTTTTCCCTAAAAACACTTGCAGGTCTCCCCTGTTTTGAATGGAGACATGATGCATGGCAGGGAGAAGGGGGTGGGGACAGGGAACCTAATATTTCCACCCCCCTTATTTATTTGATGATTTATAATCCACACTTTCATAAAAATATCAAGAGAGTGTGCAACATAGGAGAATCAAATCAACAAAAGTATCCATAATAACAGTATAAAAACATCAACAAAAATATCAATAAATACTGATGAGTCAGAAAAGAAACTTCCTATTGTAAAGGCCTGAACAAACAATACAATTTTCAAAAGACGTCTCAAAAAAGGGAGGCATGATTCCTGCTGAACCTTTATTAGTGGGGAGGGCCACAGGGCAGGGTCTGCCACAAGATAGGCTTGGTCCTTGGTGAAGGCCAAATGAACTTCAGGGATGTGGGCAATCCAGAGAAGTGCCCCATCTCTGTGAAGTTCTCAGTGGTCAAGGTGGAATTTTAGGAATCAGTCACATACAACTCCCTTCCCCAGAGCTACTATTAGAATGACAATGTGTTTGAAAGGCTGCCTGGCTTAAGTCCAGCTGAAAGGTAAAGAACCCCAAGAAGGGAGAGTAGAGGCCCTGACATTGTCCATCACTTGGACAGCAGATTGAGCAGGCACAAGGGCCACAGCCTTCACAACAATTCTGTTCTCTCCTAATAATTCCACAGTGATGCATCACCATTGAAATCTTGAGCATTTCATTTCCCAATAGGCTGCTCTTTGTTGTGGCAGTCTAGGATGTTCCGGGAATGTTGCGCATTGTACTCATGTTTACAGTATACGGTATGTAGGCATTGTACCTATGTGTACAGTATGTAGGCACTTTCGCTTCCCTAGCAACTGGGCTGCCTCAGTGTAGCTGAAGTTGTGCAAAATTCTAGTGTTGTATGTCGCTTCTGAGTTTCTTGGAGAAATGGGTCAAAATTAGTAGTAGTGGGTAAGATGGTGGTTCAAATTTTACCAATTTTTACCTCAGTCATGAACTCACAAAGTGGCCTTAAGCAAGCCACTATTCACTCACTCTCCATTTGTAATAAAGGGACAATAACATTGATCTACCGTATTAGAGTGTTGAATGTTATACAGCACATTTCAGCATTAAATATGTGTGATGTATACAGACATACCTCGGGATAAATACGCTTCAGGTTGAGCGCTTCGGGTTGCGCTCCGCAGCGACCCAGAAGTAACAGAGTGCTTTACTTCCGGGTTTCACTGCTTGCACATGTGCAGTCAAAATGATGTCATGCGCATGCGCGGAAGTGGTGAAATGTGACCCAAGCACACACAGACGTGCTATCGTGTCTTATGTTCTGTTTGGGATGTGAACGGGGCTCAGGAATGGATCCTGTTCGCATCCCGAGGTACCACTGTATTATCAATGGGTGATCTTGGACCAGTCTCACTCTTAGCCTAATCTACCTCACAGTGTTGTGGTGAGGGAAGAAATATTGTAGGGAGAATGATATACACCGAGTAACAAATGAATTCCCCTCATAGCCTAAGCAACTGGAAATGCCTGTTCTTCCCAGTTGCAATATCCTATTATTATCATATTTTATTACTACAGCTGCTGCTATTATTTTTCTGAGGTCACCCATTTCACTGGGTGAAAGGAGAGTACTTAGGTCACCATTACAATTACGTCCCCTGCAAAAGGTGCATCAGGCTATATACTAAAGTTCCTTGTATTACACACATGCATGCTAGCACACACAGACACACACTGCAAGCATTTGTTCTCTTTGTTTATGATGGCAACAGACAGGAGATTGAATTACAGAATCACTGTCTGTTTCAGCAGCTCCCGTCACTGGTTCTGTCTGCAGACGGGGAACATTTCTGAATGACAACTTTGGAGGTTTCTCACACTGTAAAACTTCTCACATTGAGAAGGGACAGTGTGAAGACATTGCCTTCACAGTAACTATGCACAATGCTGTGTTTATGCCCTATGTGCTGCTGCAGAGGTTTCTTCCCAGATGGAGATGCAACAGGAACAGTGTTTCCCGTTGTTGTTGTTGTTGTTGTTGTTATCTCATCCACCATCCAAAGTTCACAGGGTGGTTCACAACAATTTTCACAGGAAGGTTGGTAGGAGGGAGCTAAGCTGAAAGTTTGCAAAAGCAGCTCAGACAAAGGGAATACCCATGTTTTGTTAAAACTTGTTTGTGGGAGTGCATGTGCAAAGATAGCTCCCTCCTTCCCTTTATTCCCCCCTCCTACCACTTTCATCCTGCAAAGTTAAACCCTTGCCACTGAGTTTGTTTGCACTTCCCATCCTTGCAAGCTAACCAGCCAACACAGATTTCTTTACCTTCGCTTTGATGTGAAGCGTGGCTCTCCGTCTGTCTGTCCATCTGCAGCCTCTGCACCATCTTCCTCTTCTCGGGCTGGACTATCAAGAGCATTTCTAGGGCTACTGCACTGGGGTCTTTCTGAAACTCCATAGTCCCCATCAGAGCATTGCCTCTCCTGCCTTCCTCTTAGAAGTCCTAATGCTACTGCTGCTACAGCCGCCAAGTGCCCTGGGTATTTTCTACCCCTCACCCAAATTGCACACCCGTACAGACATGCACGCAAAACACACGCACGACTTTTGGCTGACCCTGCCAAAGGCACTGTTTGTGGGTACCCGGCAGAAATCTACCCTAATGAGTAGGTTACAAGTCACCTTTGAAAGGAAATCCCAGCAGGGATCCATTTCCTAAACCCGAGGAAGGAGACACATTTTGGAGAGAGAGGGAGGGAGGGAGGGAGAGAGGGAGAGATAGAGATAGGGGTCTAGTTTCAGAACATGTTCTTTTCGAACCCCCTCCCTTCTGGCTGCCCTTTCAGCATTAAGCCCTTGCTCACATGTAAATCCCGCTAACACCACTGTTGCTCTCGGAGAATTTGCTTTGTGAAGCCTGCATACCCCCTAAAAGGACTTCTGCTGGATTGCCAAACCCAATGTGGAAACTTAAAACGAGAGTGCGAGGAGGGGGGTGGTGGTCAATTATTTAAAAGCAGCAAAAAATAAAACAACAATAGGGATGCTTTTGGTGAATGGAAGTTTTAGATGTCACATCCTGGGGTACTTGTTTCAGATAAAATGAGCAATCCCAATTATTTTCAGAAGCAACCTGGTTTCTAAAATATCGTATTAACAGCAGCAGCAGTAATAGAAATTGCCCATCAAAAACACCATTCAGTTTCTCAAGCAATTCACTTTTTCTGCAGCAACTTGTGTGCTTTGCCATTCAGTCTCATTGCAACTGCAGGCAGAGAACATGGAAAGGTGGAAATGTCAACAATTTTTACCAGCTCCCAGTCCAGCAAATAGAAGCACTGGCAGTATGGTATAGCAATTATGAGCGACCTAGTTTAGCCGGCTGCCGTAATGGGGAGAGTGTGCTGGCATAAGAGTTCTTTCTAAATATATCCTGGACCTCCATCCTGTCACAGTCCGAGCTGGCAGCTGAGCAATGTTTGGCTCATCGTCTTGGGGGTGGCAGGGGTTTGGATGGGAACACCTGTGGGCTAGAGGACAGTGCAACACAGCTAGATAGTTTTTGAACTTCTGCAGCCCTCATTCAATGTATGAATGCAAACCCATGAAACTGATTGCAAGCCATCCTGGGCTTAAATGCTACCACCCCATGGTCCTCAAGTGACAGTTGGTGCTAGAATCAGGTGCAATAATTGTTCACATGTATAATTTCTGTGTGTTTCTTGGAAGACTCCTGCAGGGCATAAAGGCAAGACGTTTTCAGCAATCTGCTCATCTCCCATTATCATCCACCAGCAACTGATACTTGGAGATATACTACCTTTAAAACAGGAGACTGTAGCCATCATGGCTGGCAGAAAAGAGGTTCTGTGAGAAAGAGTCAAAATCATAAAAGAATATGAAACCAATAAAAGCAACTCCCTTTATGGAGATAAGACTGTTTCGTCCAGTAGCAATATAGGGCTTATTCATACTTACCTTTCCTCCACTCCATGTTGTTGTTGTTGTTGTTGTTGTTGTTGTTGTTGCTGCTGCTGTTGCTGCTTGCCCCAGAGCTTTACCTGTGAAAACCTGCTCTTTAGCGCTCAATCTGAGCAAATGTCAATTCGGGTTTTAAGCAGATTGTCATTTGCTTGGGTTGAGCTCTAAAGAGCAGGTTTTCATGGAAAACGTCTGGAGCAAAGGAAAGAAAGGCCACTTGGACACAGAACTGTAAAGTGTGGTCCATGCCTGGAAAGTGTAGGGCAAAATATAAGAGTGGATAAGCCCACACACTCCATTTCTGATGTCAGTAGTCTACGTGGCTATTCAAAAATTGATTTTTGGAGTTGAGGCAACAACTTTGCACTTACGAAGACAGGACAAAAAACTGGACATGGTGACTTGCTAATTTGTAATTTAAATAGCTCTAGAACTCCATATTTTCTTCCCTAGGCCAATATAAAAAATTCATTAAGCTTTTCTGCAATTTCCCTGTCTTCCTTTAGCAATGCTCTCATTTGCTACCAAATTGCTCAACTTTCTGCTCTCAACTTTTTAAAGGAAGTCTTTCCTTTTATAGCTTCCCTGATTCTACTTGTTAACAGGGCTGGCATCCACTTTGATGGTATCTTTCCTAATTTGTGGTGGCATACATTCTGTCTGAGCTTCTATTATTATGTTTTAAAGAATCTCCAAGCATCCCAGAGAGATTTGACGCTCCTGACTCTCCCATTTGACTTCCTTTCAACTAATCCCCTCATTGAAGTGGATCCACTTTCTTTCCTGCTTAGACCCAACATTGCTTCCCTTGATGGAATACTTGCTCTTAACATCTATTGACACCATTATTTTTGTAGGGATGGCAACTGGTATCCCAAGAGGGTACCAACTTACTTCCTCAAGGTGGTACTTTCTGTTTTCCTTTGTAGATGGAACAAATCAGAGAAACATGAGATTCCAGTAAAACTAAGAGTGTTGGTCAACTGTTGAAATCAACCCCATCTATTAATTTATATACTCTCTCTCTCTCTCTCTCTCTCTCGATTGTAATAGTTAATATAGTAAGCATATTATATAAACTGTTAAATCTTCTATAATAATGTTGTTTATGAATTGGGGGAGTGGGCAGATTCCCCTGAAAGTCCTGCGTACCAGATTCCCCCTCCCTCATAATTTCTAGAGTTAATAAATGTAGACAATTACTAAATGCTTGAAGTCTTCACCTGGGTGCGAGGCAACTTAGCAGTGTACAAATCACAGAATATTAGAGTTGGAAGGGACCCAAGAATCATTGAGTCTAGCCCCCTGCAATGCAGGAATATCAGCTAAAGCATCCATTACAGATGACCATCCAACCTCTGCTTAAAAAAACTCATGAAACGAGAGTCCACCATCTCTTGTGGTAGTTTGTTATACTGCCGAACAGCTCTTACTGTCAGAAAGTTTCTCCAAATGTTTAGTTGGAATCTCCTTTCTTGTAAGTTGAAGCCATTGCCTCGAGTCTTACCCTCCAGAGCAGGAGAAATAAAGCATGCTCCCTCTTCCATGTAAATGGAATGCAGGCTGAATCAGTTTCTTGGCCTGGAAATGCTTAGAGAGAGAAGAACCATCATGCAGTACAAAGGAAGAAAATGGGCAATTAACCCAGTTACCCTGTGCTGGGCAGCAGAGGAGTGTGAGCCCTTCTTCATGAGGGGATGATGAGCAGAGACAAAGGTGAGGTTTAGGATTTCATTGTCTGATGATGTAAGCTGGGAGCGGGGAGGTTGCCAGAGTAACAGGGTAGTATCAAAACAGGAAAAAATGTGTCCTTTTAAAACAGAGGAAAAAGGGGAGAACTCTATGTTCGTTGGCTGGAAGAAGGGGGCTTTGAGAGAGTAGGGAGTATGGCGGCCTTCTGTTCTGGACCTAAGCTTGCTGAAGCTATGAAAGCAGCAATAAAGAGATACTCTTGGGGTGTAATGTTCTGCACTCCCTCCACCTAAACTCAGAGGCAAATATGTGTAAATAAACCAAATCTCTTAAAGATAACACAATCTCTACAATGTGTCATTCCAATGGAACACAAACCCTAGTTAAGCACCGAGAGCTGCTTGGCTGAGATTGGGGTGGGTGGTAACAATACTGATGTTTATGTTTTGTATTAATTTAAAAGTTTAAATGCAAACAAGCCGAACAACAACAACAACAACAACAACAACATCCTGGCCACACAATGTGCTTCACTGCATCCACCCTTTGATTTTATGTTGGATTTCTCTCTCCCACACCTGACTGCATTATCCACAGATCAGGAAAATCTTAATTTGGGGTGGGGTGGGGGAGTGTGGGCTGCCACTTGGTTGACATCCATGTCATGTGGACAACGTGAAAGACAGGCACAAATGGGAAACATCAAATCCACTTTATACTCCAGAGTATATTTGTTGGATTGATTTCCATTCTAGATATGGGACAAATAAATGAACAGCAGCAATTTCTGCTCCCATTTCTGTTGTCAGATTTCTCAAACATCGCTAATTAAGCTAGCTGTAGCAAGCCCACTCTCTGCCCCTCACAAGTTTCTCTGGGTGTATCTTTCCCTCACTGACTTCACCATGTTTCAGGCTCATGGTTGGATTGAAGGACGATTAATTTCTCGTTCTGTGGATAGATTTTCAGAGAGCAGAACTACATGCATATGCATGGATAGACCTCTCCATTAAGATACGTCATGCTCCAAAACTATGTTTTCTGTTTCATCTTTCGATCTTTTTGGGAGAGGTGCACAGAAGGTGCAGACAAATGAATCTGTCAATTTCAATTTCTCATTTTTCTAGTCTTGAGTTCAGACCTCTGTACTTCTACAGCAGCCTACAATCTTTTCTGCAAAGTCCTCTTGAAAATTCACCAGCATTTCAGTGTGAATGTCTGCCTAATGTATTTTTTAATATGTTCACTCTCATATTCATTTTTATGCACATCTAGCCAGTCTATCTATCTGTTTGTACAGATTACTTGATTAGCAAACTGCATTGTAAAATTTGGAGAATTGTGAACTTTGAAGCTTAGCTGTGCTTCAGTTCACATATTGTTCCAGAAAGGACAAACTAGGTAGGATGGCTTTGAATACTAACTGAAACAAATTTCGGCCCCATCCCTAACCTTGCCTCACTGGCTGCATGCTGATATTGTCTTGACAAAATGAGGGAGGGAATGAAAACCATGTAACATATAGTTTGAGTTTTAACACAATCTTTAGCATATTTACTTGGAAATAGTAATTTCCAGCAAGTTTAATGGGACTTGCATTCCAGTAATTGCATTTAGGATTGGAGCTATGGGCCTCCACTGTCATGACAAATTAATCTGTATGTATTAGAAGTTGATTTGATACTGAATTCTGCTCTTCTGGGGTTCAGACTGAAAATTTGCAGTCGAAGGGGGAGGAAGAGATTTTTTAAGTTGCTTGGGGGCTTGATGTGCCAAGTAATAAGTCCCAGGGAGATGGATTAGTGAGTAGGGGAAGCTATTAGGGCACATGATAAATAAATTTATCACATAGGTATCATATTTATATCTTGAGGTCTGTGGGTAAGAAGGAGGGAAACTAAATTATTTAAATTACAGAAGGAGTGGAAGAAAACTTTGTGGAACTACATGGAGTAGAAAAAAAGTCTAATTGAATAGGCCTTAATTGTCAGACAATCTCACCTGATTTGTAACAGTATCATTCTGATGCATGGTGTGAAGAACTAGTGCAGAAAAGCAAGGTTGCTCATCA